ATACCGGGATAAACGCAGGATATGCGTCATCTCAAGTGGTGACATATCTGTTTATTACCGAAGCTGACAAACAGTGCAGGTTTGAGATTCTGTGATGTTGTGTTCTCCATTCTATTCACGTGGAGCATGCTTTCATCAAAGAGGGCTGAGGTTGGAAGTAATTAGCTCATGTCATTCCTGATCTCAATGATATGATTTACTGTATATTTGTCTAAAGCCCAAGGAGCCCAAGGTATATTCAAATTAGACTCCAATTACAGGTGGGGTGGCAAAGGCTGTGTTGATAGCCAAGTGGTTAAGAGTCGCTTAGTGGTTTCAAGCATGTGTTTATGTTCTATCAATTTCTATCATGTTTTTTGATGATGATCCCCCATTGACCAAATTTTCTTGTTTCTGGTCATTGTTGAACCACCAATCAACTCAGAAATCATCAGCCCTTTGTTGGGCTGGCGACATCGCCATCGCCATCGCGAAGTCGAGGTTTGGAACGGTACCGTGGCGAACCTCACGCTCTTAGCTTTGGGCTCTTCCGCGTTGGGTTGCCCCAGGGACAGACAGGGACAGATGGCTTGAGACGGATATCTAATGAGTACGAATGAGTATCAAGTATTCACGGATTATATATCTAATTAGGTTCGGCGGGTTGACCTAGAGTGGGCCTGGAAAGGGTCACTTTCGGTCACTTTGGGTAAAAAGCGATGGTTCAATCAGTGGCCCTGGATCACTCAGCTAAGTACCAAGGAAGCCAGAACCCCAGAGTGATGATTTCTGGGAACAAAACGTCATGCCATGAAGTTGATTCTTGGGGGTTCCACGGATATTGCACCGTGCATGAACAAGAATTCATGCATCAACTATTTCCCAGCTTCCCTGATGGCCCCCCAAACATGTACTGTACCCTTCCCAATAATAAAAAGAAACATGTGGGTGGCAAACTACATCAAACTACCAAACTCTATGGTCAAATACGCTCAATATCGCTCAATCCTCATATTTGATCGTCATAAGCATTGGTTTTTCATCCTCACCGAACTCTGACAGCACCCAGGCCGGAGATTCTGCTGTCTGTCGTTGAAATCATCGGGTCGATCTCCCAGAAATGCTTACCTGGTACATCCTTAGATTGAAAACGGATTGGAAAAAACCCAATCTAGAAGGTTACCAGGTAGTGTTTGAGACTTGGTTTTGTACCAGCAACTGGTTGGAGGACTGGTGAACATGGCCAAGAGCGGAGATTCTGTCCTTTGTTTTGTCCTGTGCCAATACATAGCAATGGATCAGAACAGTGAGGCGCTGATAACCGTACTTGGTGCTGAAAACCAGTTGTGATATGTTTTGTCATGCATTTGTTTGCTGTCGAGTATGTACTTTCCCCTCTCAGAATTGGCATGAAGACATTTACAGCTAAATCCAGACAGCAATCGATGGTGAAACTGGGGTTTCTGGTCATTCTTTCCCTTAATTCCATGGATTTTGGCTGACAATTTACAGGAAACTCCCATATGTCACGGGAAAATCCATGGTTTCAGGTGATTTCTGGTGAAGATTTTCCCAAGAAAACCAATCCATTGATGCCCTCCCCGCGGCCCTTAGGAATGGATGTTTCGCAGGGGACCTTGGCCCCTCGACGATCGTTGGCCCGGGCACCTAGGATTCGACCATGGGAATGACCATGATACATACGTATTATTTACCCTCTGGTAATTTAACATAGCTATTGAAAATGGCCATAGAAATAGTGGATTTTCCCATTAAAAATGGTGGATCTTTCCATAGCTATGTTAAATTACCAGAGGGTACCATTATTTCACATAGTCTTGGGATGTTTTATGATATTTCCCATATTTGTAGATGATTTATGACATATATCGATTTATAATATTTTATCTGGTTGGTGGTTTTAAACATTATTTTCCATAAATATATGGGATAATCCTTCCCAACTGACTTTCATATTTTTCAGAGGGGTAGGTATACCACCAACCAGTCCAACCAGTGATTTAAGATATTTCTTGATGATTTCAATGATTTCCTGTTCTCAGAGGGATCTTTCTGAAAGTCCTGATTTCACATAGTCTTGGGATATTTTATGATGATTTCTTGTACCCAAGGACCTATGAAACTCGTAAATGTTCCATAGAACCTGGGACTCGGATTCCACTCGGACTCCAGGTTCCGCGGCTTTCAACTTGTTTGTGATCATCGCCGGGGCCTCGCCTCACCTTGGCGTGAAGTTTGGGGAGAAAACATCGTAGATACATCATTAATATCACATATAAATAGATTCAATAGACACAACATATCACAGATATTTGTTTCCCTAAAGCAAGTGATTTTCTTTGCAATATCCTTGTTGGTGATTAGGTATCACTCATACCATGAATGTAGTGTGTATCCCGAGAATAAAACCCTAATACTCAGCAAGCCGGGTTCTTGCTGAATTTTTTCTGAATACAGAATTATATATACCCTCTGGTTATTTAGCATAGCCATGGTATAGATGGCCCATAGAAATAGATGGTTTACCTGGGTTTACCTATTAAAAATGGTTATTTTCCATGGCTATGTTAAATAGCCAGAGGGTATTATGTGTTTAAAATAATATTAGGTAAGATACAGTAAGATAAGGCTAAGAAAGATAAATAGATAGATTGTATAGAATATATAGATTGACTAGACTAGCTTTTATGAGATAGACAGGACAGGTAGGACAGATAGGATAGACAGGTCAGATGAACATTCCCACATCAATCCCTTCAAAAGGCACAAACACATACACCATAAATTAACATCATTATCGTCATGCAGGTGAATTCCAGCCGGTTCACCGCAGACCGAACGATCCTGATGATATTTGCCGTGATGCCAGGAGAACATATCATAGAGGTCATTCAAAAAAAATATGGGTTTGTCTGAAAATAGGGTATATTCCCAATGAAATAGCCATTTAAAAACGGGATGATGATCAGCAAAACCATTGGGTAAAAAGGGGTACACAACATTTTCAGACACACCCATGTGTTTTGAAGGCTGTGTTGGTTGGTTCAAAATTCCTTGCCCTTCCATTTCCGTCAACGCAGTGTGGTCAAGATGTAGCTGGTAGTTTCTACGTGCGCCCGTGCAACCTGTTCAACAGTTCTGAATCTTTCTGGGGGGGATTACATTGTTACATTATATATATATATATACACATACATCATTTCAATCCCCAGCACATGTCATTTTTTGTTGGCTATGTCTATGTATACAATCTATGTATATGTATATTATATATATATATTACATAACATCATATTTATGTATTAATAATCCCTTCGCCCTAATATTAAACGTCCACCCGAATGATAAAACCTAGGGGTAGTTTTTATTATTAGGGGTATTTTATATTCGGGGGAGAAGCTGGCTCCCAATATTAAATTAAAAGCCTTAATTAAACAAACTAAAAATGTTGATTTCAAAATCAATTAAACTCCCTTTTATAATCTAATTAGAATATTACCAAACATTGGATTTCGAAGCTTTTCCCTAATATTGATTTTAAAACCTTAATTAAAACCAAAACAGTTTTTTAGATTTTAACAAACGGACCCCAATAATAAAAAAAAACACCCCGGGCTTAAGTAGTTTTTATTATTAAGGGGGTAGAACCTTCAAATGACCAATTAAAGGTCAAATTGACCAATCTGAAATGTCCCAAAACAAATAAACTGGGGTTAGTAATAGGGAGAAGGGATTATACAGTGTACATATAATATATTCTTACAACATCTTACAACAAGTTGGTGCCCCCCCAGTTATGAATTGGTTATAAGCTCATTAACCATAGACAAATTACCTATAAACCATATTGACATTGGAGTTATTTGCACCAACTTAGCGATTCCGAACGGGGACACCACCTTGAACAACCCTGCGTTTTTGTTACTCCAAATGAATCCCCCCAATTTGGAACGTCCCAGGGCGTATGTGTTATGGCCGTTCCGGCGGGGGAGACACGCCTCATCAAAGACCTAGGTGCAACCGCGGATGGGAAAGGGCAAATTCCATGGCAAGGTGGTACCTCCCTAGTTGTAATTTGGTTTATAAACCATAGTAAGTACAGATATATCTACCATGAACATCCATAAACCATAGTGAAATTGAAGTTATAAACCAACTTAGTTATTTTGGGGGCACCACCTTGTGGGGGTTCAACCAACCCTACAAGGTGAGGCCCCCAAACCATAGCTGCTAGGTTGACTTTGTTCACTTGGCTGACTAGGGTTGATTAGGGGGATATAAGGAACTTGTCAATAGGTTTATATTTTATAGACAATATAGACTAGCTTATAACTTGGGGGCCTAACCTTGTAGTCATTATAGTGGCTGTAAATCGGGATTTTTTTAGCAGCCGAAACACAATGGGATAACCCCCGTCGTGTCCAAGATTGGAAGATTGGCCCTGTGGTGTGGTTGTCATCAATGAGCCCAAAGTTGATTTGTGGGTCACCTTATGCTGGCTTGGTTATGAAGGGAAAATGGACCAGACAACATATTTTTTGTGAAACAAAGACGCTTGTCACCCCGCACTTTTTTGGGAAGGTTCAAGGTTCAAGATAATGGTTTATGATGGTTCTACACATGATTCAGCATATGTTCAAGAATGCAGGATAGCCCAACATGGCGACCAAACATGGGGAATGTATGACCTATGATATTACATTGAGGATCAACCATGAGGTTTTGAGCTACCCGATCTCAGACAAATCCAAAGGCCAGACATGTTATTCTATAACCATTCCTTGCCCTCAATAATGATCAAACTTGGATACTCAAAAAACGTTTTAAAAAAACACCAAAAGAAGGGTCAGGATATATGGTTCCCTTTTCAAAACGGGATGGTTTCCTACATGTTAATCCCCCTTGGTTTTGCAGGTCTGATTGACCCCACCCAAACGTGACCTGCAGCTGTTTCGAGCACTTCCCCTTGGACGCGTCTGCCATTGCCGTCATTGCCCAACATGGCGGTGGCGTTCCGGCTTCGCAGCCGACCGGCGATTAGTGAGTGGACGGTGGATCAGGCCCAACTGGGGTGGTTGTAGACGGTGCCAGATAGGGTTGTTACAAGTTGAGGTCCCCAGAAACTATAGGAACCTGGCCACAAAAGGAGATTTCATAGGTCCTAGTTATACGTTCAACCTGGCCACAAAAGGAGATTTCATAGGTCCTAGTTATACGTTCAACCTGGCCAAAAGGAGATTTCATGGGATTCATATAGCTGACTTATAGCTAAGTTGATGCAAATAACTTGGTGAACTAGTGGCTTGATGGACTTAGGGGGATATAACATGACTGTGGGGCCTCACCGTCCTCACCTTGTATGAAGAAAAAAAGCAGTGGCTGCAAGACACCCCTCTTGGTTGATATTACTTCGGGGATTACATTGAACAATATAAAACATATACCTTCTGGTAAACTAACATAATTATGGAAAATCACAATTTTTAATGCGTAAATTCAGCTATAAATGGCAAATTTCAATAGCTATATGTTAAATTACCAGAGGGTATTTTGGTTTATAAAACAAACAGTAACACACATGGTTCATTTTATGGTTTGTATCACTTGTGTATTTGTCTCAAATGGAGAATATGTTGCCAATGATCACGGGGAAAAGGAGCTTCAAACCATGGTATGAAACGGGGATATCAACGTTTGAGATTGTCCAGAGTTGGTTTGTGGGGAGAATGTAATTTACAGGAATTCCCTACAACTCCCGATCAGTTGATTGGCAAAACGAACACATGTTTTCCAGCACGTTTTCCTCGAATCCATCCACGGATATCGATGAGGACCTTATTAGGTAAAAGGTAACTGGGATGACGGCTACACACAGATAGCGCTGACACCATACCAGATTTCGGATTTATTATGATCTGACCGGACATTAATCTATCGTCACTTCATTTGGGTACGCCTATGTACGTCTCAAAACTTGGTCCCCCATGAAATCCCATTGTTTAAAGCCTCATTTTTCCTCATGAACATTTCCATAAATCCGGGCATCCCCCATTTTTCAGACATATCACACCATTCACAATAACCATGGATAAATAATAAATATGGATAAATAATTCCATCATTATTTTAGTATTATCGTATACCGGCCATGTATAAGCCCAACATTGCCATCTATTACACGATTTAAATCACTATACTTCCTTTCAATCAGCTTATTTTTCTTTTTATGGGACATTCAGGATCCAATACATGGAGGTACGTAAACGTACCATATATATAAGGCCATATGTTGTGGGGATATTCCGCCTTACATTTTGGGGATATCTGCATTTTCATCACCGGGCTTCGACAAATGGCCAGGTTTGCGACTTCCTGGAGACGCTGCAGCTGGATCCCGCGGTGATCGACAAATTCCGCGCCGAGGCGGTCGATGGCCGCGTGCTCTGCGAAGTCAGCGACGAGGATCTCTCAGGACGCGGGGGAACGGCAACGGCAACGGGACACGACGGGGTGAAGGAAGGGATCCATACGGGATCCATATGGATCCATATATGTGTTATATTTAAGTTGGGGAAGATCTTAAAGATACCAAGTATTGTTTTTTTTGTAAATTAGATACTAGGGATTTTGTTTGAAATAAATGGAAAGTAAGAATTTTGAATCCTAAGTGGAGTTGGTGGGGGTTAGGAAAAGATGGGGAGGTAAAGTCATGACACCTGCAGAAGTACCAGTATATGGATCATTTGATATATTCGGTTTGTATGGATAATCCTGCATCTTGTTGCAGGCTGCAGCAGAGCCAATAATTACTGGTTGGTGGTTTCAAACATGCCTTTTATTTTCCATTTCATATCTGGGATGTCATCCTTCAACCACCAACCAGATTATACTGCAACTGCTATATGGATGAATCATTAATACAGGACCTCACGTCGTGACGTCACTGGCAGACTGGAATGTCCAGGTTAGGATTCGGGGAACCATCTCCAAATGGCTGATATTTTTAGGTTACCCTCTGGTTATGACTAACATAGCTATGGTATAGATGGCCCATAGAAATAGATTGTTTACCTATTAAACATGGTGATTTTCCATGGCTATGTTAAATAACCAGATGGTACTGAATTACTACAATTCACCCAGGATGAATTGGCTTTGTCTGAACATAAAGCAATAAAGCACCCCTAAATCCCAATGCATTATCATTATGTTCCCATATATGTTCATAGATTTTCCCTATTTACATTGCCATGTAGATGAGGACCTGGAGGGGTTGATCACCATGTTCCCATCACTTTCCCATGATTTTCCCATCGTTTTCCCAATGGTCTCAGAGGACCTCCCTTCCAGCTGTCCTTCGGTCTGCGGAAAGCCTTGCTGAAGGTGGCAATGTTTTTGGAGGGCGACGGACGACGCTTGGAGAGTGGAGCAAAATATATGTTCTCCAGATTAGGTTTCTATAAATATATGTATGCTAGTAACTAGTATGTATGATATATTATATTATATTATACTATTATACATAATCCTATATACACATGTATATTCACTTCTTATGATTGAGTTGTTTTCAGTTCTTATGACAAACCAACGTGAGCTAGCACCATTCCATCAGCCTTTCTTTTGGTCATTTGGTCTGCATACACCTCACTTCTAGCTTTGGCTGAAGGCCCAGGCCGGTAAAGAAGTCACCCTACAACATCCCATGTGCTTGATACCATTTGTTGGCCTGGTTGGTGATTTGGGACATGGCTGGATTATGACTTTTCATATATTCGGAATTTCATCATCCCAACTGACGAAGTCATATTTTTCAGAGGGGTAGGTATACCACCAACCAGCATTTGTTGGCTATGTGTTTTTTTCACTTTAGACTCAATTCTTTTGGAGAGTGTTCACTCTACAACATATATTTACATATTGCTAAACATACTGTGTATAGAATTGTCTCATATCTATATCAATGTATTTACCTTCTGGTAATTCAACATAGTCACATCACGATCACATCGCGATCACCACTTGTAGGTCAATCATCTATGTTAGACCTAGTACCCTCTGGTGAACTAACATAGCAATGGAAAATCACCATTCTTAATGGGAAAATCCACTATAAATAGCCATTTTCCATTGCTATGTTAGTTCACCAGAGGGTAAATGGATTGTTCTCCAGTTCGCAAATCATCCAGGAGCTGGCGCAGCAGCGTAAGTTGGACAACCACCGCAGAGTCGGTGAACGCAGTGCGGGCGCGGGCCCGGTGCTGGTGAAGGGACAGCCGGTGGAAGGTGCGAAGGAGGGGAAGCTGTGGGAAGTTTGTGGCCAGACCAAGATGAAATTGAGATATCAATGGACTTGAATTGGATATGTTTGTATACATGTATGATTATGTATAGATCCATCATGTTATCTGTGCTATATCTATACGGTTATATGTATTATATGTATATCTAATATGTATGTGTATATATATACAATATATATATATATATTGAATATATATATATATATATATATTGAATATATATATATATATATACACATACACATTATATATATACAAAAGTAAGGATATATATATATATACATGTATCCACGCAGCCATTTGGTCAATAATCTGATATGGGCGACGATTCGAGGAAGCTACATGGATCTATATCATATACGCTGCAATAGCGATCGTCATATCAGTTAGCTATAAATATATCCATCACTAGTGCACTGATAATGTTTGATAGTGTTTGCACCAGATGGTAGCTATCAGTGATCGTCATAAAAAAAAATCTATTTTCTTTTTTTGATGATGTTTGATAGTTACCATCTGGTTATTTAACATAGCCATGGACAATCACCATTTTTTTTAAAGTAAACCATCTTTTTCTATGGGCCATCTATACCATGGCTATATTAGTCATAACCAGAGGTTAAAGTGTTTGTTGCTTAGATTTCAAATTTCCATGGTTTGAAAACGTGAAAACCCCCATGGTTTGCTGTTCAAATTCCCAGCTGTTTGCCAGTTCAATCCCCAGGAACTCCCAGCTTCAGGTCCAAAGCTGAGCCACGACGCGCTGGAACGCATCCGAAAATGGCGCCTGGAGGCGGACCTTTTTTTGGTGCAACGGACGTGGTGACCAGAGCGTGCAGAAGTTTAGCGGTAATTAGGGAGGTTTAGATGGGCCATAGCCTCTGGTAAACATAGAAAGAATGATGAAAAGATCCACCATTTTCAATGGGTAAATTCACAATTTGATGGTTAATCAATGGTTAATCATGGTTAATCAATGGTTAGTTCATCAATTTGGCCATAATTCTTCTAGATTGGGATACCCCAAAATTTTTGAATGGGATATCAGTGGAATATGAATGGTAATAAATGTTTGTGGGTGATTTTTTTTTGGTTCTCACCAACAAACATTGGGATTTTAATGGAATTTCCAATGGAGATATCATTGGATAATCATGGGATGGTGATTTCCTAAAAAATGGGGGTATCCAAAATCATCAGAAACGTGGAAAAAACATAACGAAGGGGTACAGTACCCAATAGAAACATCTACTCCTGAAAAGATCTTATGTTTAGACATGCAAAAAACACATAGATGTACAGTGGTTAGATAGGGACTATATAAATAATACTAAATACAGATAACTATAGATAACAGACAGCTATAAGACTATAGGTATATATACATTTAAAATAAGTAATACATATGTATACAGATCTCATATATATATATATATATTTATATATATACACATACACACACACTATACAAATAGATAGATACCTGGCTTACACCGTGGTTCTGAACTTTCCGCAGCTTCACCACTGCAGCGCGAGCCTCACAAGGTGTCCACGGGGCGGCTGGTTCCACGTGAACCGCCTTTGACGGATGAGGAGCTGGACTGCTGGTAATACCAGGTCACGGGTTCATCCGTTGGTTGCCCGGAAAAACCATCGGAACATGGTAATTTAAGCAACAGACATGTGGATGTTCATCGTGATTTCTAGTTGATTTCTATAGGATATATATATAATTATATATATATATACATAATAGTTCCCAATCAGATAGCTATCTAGGATAGTTTAATATGGAACAGATCTATATGAACCATTAAAAAACATGATTTATCTAATATGGCTTTGGACGATGGCCTCCGAGACCCAAATGGGAAATGGTGGGATTTATGAAGTTGATTTATGAGAGCTAAGATAGTTGGTTTATGATACTGGGCTTATAGGCTTATAGCTATATAATATAAATCATATATATATATATTAATATATATATATATACATATGTATAGTGTATATCAACTCTGGATTTATAGTTGATTTTTGAGAGCAAAGATAGTACAAAAACCTCCGATTTCACTGTTGGAAACTGGGTTTTTTCAAATCGAACTAGCTCATGGGGATGAAACAAAGCAATTTTTGTTCAGTGCCGTGGGTACCAGCCGGTAGCGATTTCCACAAGGAATGATGGGTATATCTTCAATGAAACTTTGCGGATCGGGAATTATGATGGGTAGTCAATGATGGGATATAGATGGGGAAGGATCACAACCTACCGGTATTTTGGGAGATGAACCTACCGCTGTGATGGGATAATCTATGGGAATATCCGTGGGAAAAGAAACCTGGCTATAAATGAAGCCAGTCGGGGGACTTGTTTAACTGGGGTCATGAAACAGTTTCTAAGTGGGACGATGCTCTATTGGTTATGTGTTCAGTAGCTCTAGATGCTTTGATCACCAATGCTAGTTTGTATAGACCATGTTTGGTTGGATTTCCAATCATTGTCATAGTTATACCAATTCTTATGGATGAAACCAGGTTTGCTTCAACCTGTTGTGGCTGAATTGATTCAGCCACAAGGGGGAACTTGGTCATTTGGTGGTAGACCAAAACACCCGCCATGGTACTTGGATGTGCATCCCACTTAGTAAATGGGTGAGAGACCACCAGTTAGATATGGAATATCCTCAAACTTATCATGGGTTTATATGGCCTATTTATGGATTATAAACCACTTTCTAAGTGGGATGCACATCCACATAGTCAGTGATTTTAACCCCCATTGTGTGTGAAGGGTACCTGACGGTTCTCTTCGGAGTCAGGCTTCCTGGTTGGTGTGTCCCATCACTGGAAAAGCATGGGCACGCAACGTGGCTGCTGGAAGGTGAGCTATCTGATGCCCAGTTGGAGCCGGGCAACTGGGTACTTCCCAACAGCAAGGGATACCCTGTGGAAAATCACCGTTTTTAATGGGTAAATCAACTATATAATGGCCATTTTCAATAGCTATGTTTGTTTACCAGAGGGTATACCCATTGTTGGGGTTGTATACCCGATGGTACAATTTCGGTGTGCAATTTCATGGTTTTAAGAAGAATCAAGTGGCAAGAATCAACAAAGGTAACCACATAACTTATATAACCAACCAACCAACCAACCAACCAACCAATCAACCAGTCCCCAAATTTGCCGTGCGGCTCAGGTAGTGATGTGGTCTCCACCATGGGTGTGGCCTTGTACCATGCGCCCAGTGGCACGGCAGTCATTTGCCAGTCCTGGAGATGGTGAGATGAAGAATGATGTCGAATGGGGAAATTAAAAGTGATGTTTGTTACCCTTCGGTAGTTTAACATAGCTATGGCAAATGGATGCAAATGGTCCATTAGTTGGTTGATGTTCTCAGACTTCCATTGGGGAGTTTCGGCGATAATGGAATATAGCATGATACAACTGGTTTATATATATATATCACTCCTTTACATTTCCTCTATAGACTGGGTATACCCAAGTATCGTTTAGAACGATAATTTTAGTCAGCCCAGGTGTGTACACAAGGTGGTCAAACAAATACGAGAAAAAAAAGATACTGATTTTTTATAGAAGGCTATATGTAAACCATTTGTAAGCCAACATGTGGCTTATGACCAATTCCGGGGGACCCAGGAACCTGATTTTATAGAGAGGCTATGTTTGGCATGGTTCTGATTTGTTGGCCCATGGATTATGATTTTATAGAAGGGGGGGTTTTGATACAAATTCGGTGGTATACGCAATCGCCGCATCCAATTAATATTTTATGTCGGAGGTGTTCAGGTCAAACAGCACTGAATGATACTGGATGAGCGCATTGTGATGCATTTTGAACCCACTATAAAATCAAAAATCCAAGTCCACCTTATATCGTCATGCCTGCCAAACAGCTCCACTATAAAATCATAAACCAGGTTCCCCAATATTGAGCATCCACATGTTTAAATAGACTTTGTAAAACAACCATTTTGAAAATTCTGATTTTATAGTGGGCCAGGTGGCTGACTTTAAGATACTCTAAGGGGAAAAAGGTGTTCCAACTCTAACCTTGTTCTTAGATTTTATAGAGATTTTGTTTTTACAAGCAGGCATTTGTAACTATGTGGTGCTCTGTTTTTCTTGATTTTATAGAGACGTATTTCTTGCAATCTTATTTTTCCTGATTTTATAGTGATTATTTGTGTGCACCCATATGGTGGAACCCAGGTACCTCTATAGAATGGGGCACATTGGGTGACAATTGAAATTCACATATATATATATATATATAACATATATATATATACATGTGTGTATGAAGATGACAGTTTTCAAAGGCCATGAAGGACTGCTAACCAGTCATATGGAGAATATATAGTTTACTTGTTTTTTCTGGCCAGCAGTCCTGGATTTAACTGGTTGATTTATTGTATAATTGTTACAAGTGAACGTAGCTCTGGAAAATGATCCTTTGATGGATGTTTTACCCATGTTTTACCGATATTTACCTTGGTCATTTGCTATTGCCACGTTTGATTACAGGAGGGTAAGTCGTTGTCAGTCCTAGATTTTCGCCTGTTAATATGATATATTAGGAAGATAGTAGGATTTCTGGGATATCATGGGATAAACCATGAGCAGAATCACTATATCTTATGTAGAAACGTTGTTGAAGGGAATACCAGTGAGCACTGGATTTGGTGGTTTCAATACCCTTTGGTAAGTTACATAGCTATTGAACATCACTATCTTTCAAAGGTAAGTAATCTATAAATGAGTCATTTTTTCATAGCAAACTGATAAATTACCAGAGAGTATGGCATATTTATTGATGGTTTAGCTGTTAATTTCATATTCCCATGATATTCTCATGATATTCCGATCCTATTCCCATATTTTTCTTGGTGAAATCCCGATTTTTTCATGGTCCAATGACCATTTTAAAATCCCATGTGTAGCTTAAGTCTGAAGTTTGGTGACCACCCTGTTCAACGTGCCCGGATGCGAGGATTTTGCTCCGAGCGCGAGAAGCAACGGCTTTTCCTAGAGGAGGACCAGGGCCGTTCGCAGGGAGGGGCCGGGTGCGGAAAAAACGTTCGGCAACCGCATCGTTTGAAGCAACAAACACAGGATCAGGAAATGAATGCAGTTAAAACATGAAATTGGGGGATATACAGTATATATTATATTATACTAGGTGGATAACATGATATGACCAACTTGATATACGGATAACATGGTGAAATTCATGGTGAAATTCATATAGTGCCAAAAAATGGGAAACATGATGGATTCACCGAAGGGTTTTTGGGGATATTTCAGGGGAATGTACAGTACCAACTTTTTCATGGGAATATTGATGGGATATACCGATACCCAACTTGATCTGATATTTGGCTGTATATATATATATATATATTACACTGTGATATGTATACATATAAATATATATATACTGTATATGAAACTGGGGTACACCGGGGAGGGAACATGATGATTAACCAGTGGATTTTGGAGTAGCCTTATTTGGTAACTTAGCATAGCCATGGATAATTACACATGTGCAGATGATGTGCCAACTAAATTAATCATCAACAAATCAACAATAGGGCAATAGAGAAATACATATCCAAACATATAGATATACCCTCTGGTTATTTGACATAGCCATGGAAAATCACCATTTTTAAGTTCGGTAAACCATCTATTTCTATGGGCCATTTATACCATGGCTATGTTAGTCATAACCAGAGGGTATATAGATTCATTCTGGACTTTGGGAATCACACTAATACATACATACCCTTTATGATTCCCCCATGTTCATCTCCATGAACTAAAAAAAAACCTCCGGTAAAAAGGACCACCCACCATTTAGTTCGATGATTTTCCCAGCTGAAAACTCGGTTTGTTTTTTTGTTCGCTTCCCAGCTGCTGGAGCAGTTGAAACGGCTGAAACGGCTTTTCCATGCGCGTTTGTCCTATATCAAATATAGCACAAATCCTATGACATGTCCCACCAATTCGAAGAATTAGATGAATAGTGTGAAATTTCCTTGGAAACATTCCCATTGCTGATATTGGAAAGAATGGCTTGTCTTTACCGTTCAGCGACTGGCTCAAGATTTAGAGAGCTGGTTGCTGGGTTTGGTAAAGTTTTCGATTTTCTCATTCCTGCTTGACAATGCAACACCCAAATCAGTTGTATAACTTTGCATGAAGTAGAACTCGTTCCTTCTTGACCATGTAACACCCAATTCAGTTGTATAACTTTGGATGGATTGGAACTCATTCCTACTTGACAATGTAACACCCAATTCACTTGTACAACTTTGGATGGAATGATCGGAACCTTTCAGATCTAGTTTGAGAATAATTATTTCTCCGGTCAAAAAGAATGCTTGCTGTACATGTTTCTTTGCCGAGTGGTTGTTGCAAAACCCTGTTGCTTCCGCAAAGCTCTACAGTCAGCGACCTTAAAATTCTTGCCCAGGAATCTTTCGGACAGGGGTTCCTGAGACTGGTTACAGAAGAAGGACGTATGCTGACCGACCTTATGGAGACTTTGCCATCTGCGATTCAAGACGGAGAGCACCTAACAGCCATTGCCCAGCAACCAAAGCTGGCAGCATCATGCTACGCTTTTGCCATGTGGTGCTGTGGAGGTGACAGAGTTGTGACTTGGGGAGATTCAAGTTTTGGTGGCGACAGCTCCGCAGTTCGAGGTCAGTTGAGAAACGTGCAACAAATTCAGGCCACAAGTGCTGCATTTGCTGCCATATTGGCCGATGGGTCAGTTGTTACTTGGGGAGATTCAAGTTTTGGTGGCGACAGCTCTGAAGTTCGAGGTCAGTTGAGAAATGTGCAACAAATTCAGGCCACTGCTGATGCATTTGCTGCCATTTTGGCCGATGGGTCAGTTGTTACGTGGGGCAATCAAGAGAGTGGTGACTGTTCTACAGTTCAACATCAGCTGAGGAATGTGAAAGAGATTCATGCCACCCTTGATGCATTTGCTGCAATTTTGGCCGATGGGTCAGTTGTTACGTGGGGCGATCAAACAGATGGTGGTGACAGCTCTGCAGTTCAACATCAGTTGAGGAACGTGCAACAGATTCAGGCCAGTTCTGCAGCATTTGCTGCCATCTTGACCGATGGGTCAGTTGTTACGTGGGGCTATCAAACAGATGGTGGTGACAGCTCTGCAGTTCAGCATCAGTTGAGGAACGTGCAACAAATTCAAGCAAGTTTTAGAGCATTTGCTGCCATCTTGACCGATGGGTCTGTTGTTACCTGGGGCAGTCGGAGCCATGGTAGTGACAGCTCTGCAGTTCAACATCAGTTGAGGAACGTGAAAGAAATTCATGCCACTCTTGATGCATTTGCTGCCATTTTGGCCGATGGGTCAGTTGTTACGTGGGGCGATCAAGAAAGTGGTGGTGACAGCTCTGCAGTTCAACATCAGTTGAGGAATGTGCAACAAATTCGTGCCACTCTTGATGCATTTTCTGCCATTTTGGCCGATGGGTCAGTTGTTACGTGGGGTGATCAAACAGATGGTGCCAACAGCTCTGCAGTTCAACATCAGTTGAGGAATGTGCAACTCATTCACTCCACTCGCCACCTCGGTGGGGGATCTTCAGGTGCTTTTGCTGCTGTCTTAGTCGATGGTTCAATCGTGTCTTGGGGTGATCCAAACAAAGGTGAGGTCAACTCTGCAGTTGCAGATCAGATCCTGTATTTGTAGTTTTCTTGCCGATGAGTGATGAATGATTTGCCTGAGGATACAGTTACGGACACGGAGCTTATGCAGTATCAAAGAGTACCGCTGACGAAAACATGTACAGACTATTAAAATATATTCAAATAGTATACATATTATACCTATGTACAGTAACTACGTTGCGTGATTGTCATGATGTCCCTGGGCGATCCCTTTCTTCAACTGCGAGACAGACCATGCTGACAAATCTTCAGCTCAAAAAGTGGAGTGCTTTGCTCAACTTTGCTTGGCACTTTGTGGGAAGCTGAACCTGCTCTGTGTGTGTGTGTTTGAAAATGGTTACTCACTCTGTATCCACCAGTTATATTGCCATTTTATGATGGAAGCATTCAGCATTCACAATAAACATGAATAAACATTCCAATTTCGGGGTTCCCAGTTCTTGTTCTTCTTGGAAGCAGGTTCCCAATTCTTGGTGGATCTTGGGCGGTTTTTTCAGACAGACACATCGATTTCGGTGGCATCTTGGGGGAAGAACTCAGGATACTAAGGGATACAAATGGGTACAATTGTTTATAACTCCAATAACTGTGGTTTATGGTACTTATAACTATAGTTACTGGGGCTTATAAACCAACAAACATAACTCGGGGGGCCTCACATTGTACAAAGCCTGGAGATATCATGGGAATCTCCGGGGCATACCAGCGACACCTGGAGTGACCCCAGCAACACCCTACTGAATCAACTGGGCTTTTTTCAAAATGTGGAGCTGACCCATTGAACATCATATTTGAGGAGGGAAACAAAATGTATAACTATATAATGTAATTCACTGGCCGGCTGCAAAGTTTCTTCAGTTGGGTCTGAATATGATGTATAATTATCCTCTTCAATGGCAATTTTAACATAGCTTGGTCTATTTAAAATGGTCCCCAATGGCCCAATTATGGGGACAGAAAGTTGTCCTTGGTTTGAGCTCGCGGAATCCCTTCAAGTAGTCAACGCTAATCTTGAGCTGCCATGAAGATTATTGTGATTTACACAGGGGAGTTACTGCATACATGGGAAATCTCTAGAACATACTGCATATTGATGATGATTGGTTCCTGCCTAGTTTTCTTTCAGAAACCAGAAGAGATTCAACAAGCATTGCGTGTGAACATGATTATATATATTTGTATATTTGTTTGGTACCCCCCCTGAACCTACCTTTTTGACATATTCATCAGATGGCTGGGTCAAAAGGGGGTTACCTTACATACACGCTAAGGGTATGATATATATATATATATATTCATTCTAATAGTGTAATAAGTATGCTATTATAAGTATGCTATTGAGACTGATTGAACTTAACTTCAGTGATAGCATTCTGGGAAGAATGCATTCAGAATGCATTCTCTGCTAAAACCCCAGGACTCCTGAACAAATCTTGGAACTCCGAACCAAAACCAAGAACCAAGAACTAAGATTCCCCCAGGACTCCTGAACAAATCTTAGAATTTCCGAACCAAAACCAAGAACCAAGAACTAAGATTCCCCAAAGACTCCTGAGCAAGTCTTAGTTCTTAGTTTTAAATCTAAGATTTCCCAAAGACCCCTGAGCAAATCTTAGTTCTTGATTCTTGGTTTTAAATCTAAGATTCCCCAAAGACTAGGGAAAGAATGCGTTCTGAACGCATTCCTGCATTTACGTTGTCATCTCTTCCGGTCTGTGTGCCGTACTTCCTTTCTCGCTTCTCCAGTGCCGCGTTTTGCTTTCAGCAACCAGCGCATCCACTCCTTCCTCTCTTTCTATCATGGCATTCTCTACTACCGACTTCAATGTCGAGGGAACGGTGAAGCTGCAAAATGGGATGGCTGTGATGACCTTGGGCATCCAGAATGAACCAGGCATCAGGATTACAATGACGCGGCCATCTACACAGGGGGTGCTGGACAAGATTGCGGCAGGAACCCTGGTGCTGGTTTGGTAGATGTCCGAAGGCCCTGTCTTGTTTCTTTCCCGCAGGGGCTTGATTGAACCATACTTGACATTCATCCAAGCCGTCCTGGCTACATGCCGATGGCCTTGTTTGCACAGGAACTAGTTCGGCGAGCGCGGTTATTCTGGAAGGAATGAATCAAACTGCTGCAGGCGGCATAAAGCTGCTTGGGCCTTTTACTGAGGTAAGGGTCCTGCAGACTCCATGTTGGGGTCTCTGCTATTCCATGATTGGATGCTGTTGCTGCCTGTTGGAGCGCCCCAATTCGTCCTTTGGACTTCGAACCAACCAACCAACCAACCAACCAACCAACCAACCAACCAACCAACCAACCTGGTGGCACATCCGACCCGACAACCTGTCCAGAAGAAGGATGTGACCACCATGATGGGGACCATTCAACGGCAACTTCGACTCCAGCCCGGCGGCAGTGGTGGGTGGAATGTGGAGGCGCAAAGACGGCTTGAGACCCTCCCGGCCAATCCCAAAAGGAGTGCTCAGCAGTTGGCCTTAGAAGATAGGAAGCTGGAAGGCAAGATGCCAGAAGACAAGAAGTCATCCTCGGACTCGTCATCCTCAGGACGACTCATCAGATGAGGCTCCCAAGGCAGCATGTTCCCCACCACGAGATTTTACCATGGATCTTGAAGTTGCCAAGGCCAAGCTGAAGGAGAAAACCGCCGAAGTGCAAACCTTAAAGCACGACTTTGAGGGCATCTTCAGTGCCTTATGCCATACATCTTCGGAGCTCCAGAAGGCAAACATTCAGATTGATCACCACAAGAGACTCATTGACGGCCTGACAAACGAGAAAGCCATGTTACGTCGTCAACTCGAGGGACACGGCATTGAAGATATGAATGGTGTTGATGCTCCTATGGCATCTGATGATGAGGATGCTTCGTCTTCTTCTTGTGAGCCTGGCATGACATTTGACCATGGTTCTGCTGATGAGCCAATGGCATGTGATCAGATTATTAGCCATCTTAAATATACAAGCCGTCTGGTGAACAAGGCATGAGTTTTTGTTTTACACTAAAGACTCAGACAAGAGAACATTAGGAAGCAGCTAGGTAGCGTGTATCTCCAAGCGCATGTCCTTATGAACCTGCTCATCTCCAAGCGGATGTGCAGCTTTAAAAAATGTGATCTGGAGCCAACCATCTTGTCTGCGAGTCATTCAACAGCACCGCATCAAAACTTTGAACCATCAAATAATATACCTGCAAGATCTGACAGCATACAAAATCAAACATTTCATGTGTCACAAGAAGGAACAACAACATTGGAAAAAACAATGTAAAGCTTAAAATTGACATTTGGCCACAGTGCCTTTTGCAATCTTTCAATGTTTGAATTGAAACCCTTTGTTGGGAACACCATACGGTAGTCGAAAACGCAAATACGATCAAAATATGTCATTGTATCTACACATGAAGCATCATGACTCATCATGTTCAAGCAGCGAAAGTCTTCAAACGAATGAAAAAAATGCTGGCTGCTTTTGAAGGCAAAAAACCGACAAACATTGTTGTAAAACACAAAAATCGAAACCGGTAGGTTTCAGGGGGAGGGTTAGCATATATATATATATATATACTGTATATGTGTATATATATATATATGTATAATTATAACTAAATAAATAAATATATATATATATATAAATATTGATTGTGTAATATGTTCCATTCCTGGGATGGTGCTCAGTCGACTCACAGGAGCAGGCGCGCCGCTATGATGCCCAGCGTAAAGCCTTGATGGATCACAGTGGCACCAGCTTTGAGCGGAACTACGAGGCCTTTCTGTGGAGAATTTAGGACGGTAAACCCATGGAAACCTAGAGAAAAACCACGAAAAACCTCTGGAAACCTGGGGACACACAAAGAAAACCTACAAAAAAAAACATTGGAAACCTCGGAACAACCTATAAACTAACTTGAGGAACAAATGGTATGCTAACCTTTCGAAACCACATCATTGTAAATATGTATATATATATATATATACAATTATTTACATATATCATATCCCGTACCAATGTGCGCATATCAAAATGAAACAGTAGGAAAATAACGTTTCCAAAAACCGCCGCCAATGCGACCAAACGAAAACTGATAACTTGATTTTGACCATGAAAATGGGATACTTTGCGAAACCATTAGTTTCTTGAGATATGGAAACTTGAGGTACTGACAGATAGATAATATATATATATATATTCATATAGATACATACATAATATGTTATCAATCCGTCCCTAAACCTTCCTTTTCCTAATAATTTTTCTCAACCGATTTATTTACTATGGGGCATTTGTTTGTGAATGGTCAAGGGATAAAGGGATTTAATATTTTTTCTGGTGAAGGGAAATGAGAAACGGGTATGTACATGGACTGTTGTTGTTCGATGTCGTTTACATCGCGCACTGTGCAAAAAACATATACAATCATAGAATTAGTATGTACCAAAATGTAAATACACGATCCGGGGCCATGTGCATGTGAGACACTTGAAATACACATGCACTCACATGTTTTTTGTCAAAAAGGTATTGTCTGCGTACGTACGTATGTAAGCGACATGTGTAAATCATAATTCAAACATTCCAACTTAAATCAACCGGTGCAAATTTACAAAAACAATTTAGACATCTCAACAAAAAACGATCCCATCTTGAGTTTCCCGTGGTTTTCCCGTGGTTTTCCCGCGCCTGGGTCGCCTGGGTCGCCTGGGTCAGGTGTACCCCGTGGTGGAACCGCCGCCCTTGGCCAACCTCCCCGTGACCAGCGGCGACGGCGCGTCGGAGGCGTCGGCGGAGCAGCTGCAACGTCTGCGGGCGGAGGTGTCAGGCGGGGAGCGGGACCAATGGTTTTTTGGGGAAGGGAAACATGTTATTTACTATAGAAATATGTATAATATTTATATATATATATAGATATCATGCATTCCTAAAAAAAAATGCATGTACTAAAGGCACAGAGTCCGTGATCCACAATTTTTACGGTCTTAACAGCCAATGAAATGTGATTCAAAAGGTGACACTGTCCACTTTGTTCCTCGGTCAAAAAAACCACCGTGCTAAAGCTAAGTGATTCAATCTAAATAGATCCAAATAACTACCCAAAAAATGGATGATTACCATATATTACTACTAGAAACACAACCTGTCTATGTGTCCAGAATGGTACTGGTACCCCCAGTTTGGGTACCCCATTCCATCCACCGGTGAATCATAATTTGCCCGTTGAAATAGCTCTGGAAAATGGTCTGTTTCTCCCGTTTGTAGGTTCTTTCACCATTAAACCGGTGATTTGCCATAGTTATGTTAGATTACCAGAGGGTACAGGGTGATCCCTCCCAGTTATAGGTTGGTTTATAACCCCCATGAAGTATAGTTGTATTTTTCATAAACCATAGTTAACCAAGTTGTAATCAAACTGTTTATCGTTTTGGGGGCCTCACCTTGTACAAGAAATCCCAGTAGGTACCATCATTGTTAATCAAGTCCCCATTCTATCCCTACCGGTCTTCAATTCCCATAACCAGTCAAATCACCATGAAAGAGTGAGTTGAATCCAGTGAAAGAACTAAATTATAACTTATAGAACTTATAGGCATCATATGGTGATACATTCTATATTTGGTTGGTGGTTTCAAACATGACTTTTATTGTAGGATGTCATCCCAACCCCATTGACGAACTCATATTTTTCAAGATGGTTAAAACCACCAACCAGATATTCAATTCCCATATATTCCCATTAAATCCTGTGAAATCACAACAAGTTGTGGCAGCATTTTCGCCACATCGACATGCAGAGGCTTGAAGAGTCGATCTGCCTTAGTACAGCGGCAGATGTTGCTGGGATGGCTTGTGACTTTCGTCGAAGTGTTGCAAAAAAGGGGTGATATCTTGGGATTAGGTCTAGGTCATTAACTGTGATTAACTATGATTAATATTAACGTGGTAATATGAATGAGATAAATGGATTCTACAGTTAATATAATCATGGTAAATAATTTGATTCCAAACACAGTTGATATAACCATTGTAATTACCCTCTGGTAATTTAACATAGCTATAGAAAATCACCATATTGTAGCTAGGTAGACCATCTATAAATGGGCCATTTGCCATAGCTATGTTAGTTTACTGGAGGGTAACTGTGATTAACAATGATCAATATTAATAATCATTGGAACTGTGATTAATAGTTGATAATGGTTGACTATGATTTGCTCAGTGGTTAACTATGATTAAAATAATGAGTAATAGATGAGAGATAATGGGTATACTTGGTACTGTAAAATAAATCCAGCAAACAAACATATTGCTGGGAACATGTGGGAAGTGGATCTGGTCATGTCCATCAAACAAACAAATGTCCTTTTGGTAGCATATCTAAGATCGGCTAGGTAAGGAACAATAGGGAACAGATAGGAAATACTGAAGATACATGCTATACATTTGGCGGTTTCTTCTGTGTAAATGTCCCATAGGTGGTACCTCTGGGCAAGAGGAATCCCCACTGACTGACATACGTCTTTCGAAGGGTTGAAAAGCCAACAACGACCAGCCCGCTTCGATCGCAGGGATTCTGAATGTCCTCTGCCTAAGGCCGTGCCAACCTGCAAGGATGGGCTGTAAATCAATGATTCTTCATCCCGAAAATCGCAGCTAGTAAGTAGGTCATAACCCCAGTTAATCCAGTAGTGTAAGTAGGGTGAGTCCATCTATACCTGGGGTGAACTAAGCCACTTACTAAGTTGCATGAGCCACTTAAGGTATGAATGTCATGGGACTTGGTATATCTCACCAACTGCCAGCAAGACAAGAGAGCCATTAGCGAAGATCCCCAGGTTCGAGGGCCTGTCCTCTGGGAAAATGGACTTCGAGGACTTTCAGGAGCTGATTCAGATGTTTTGAAGTAAAATCAGAACCCCTGCCTTACCCCAAAAGGATCCAAAAGGATTTTAACCTCAAGTAATCCGCCTTTGCTGTATTTGTGTTGTGGAATAAAGTAACCAAACAGATAGGAAAGTAAATTATCACTATATTTCAGTAGGATTTTATAGGATTTTACTGTTCTATCTTTCGGTGGGTTGCTATATCCTATTTCTGGCCATCTGAAACTGGACGACAGCAGGATGTTGGACGAGCGTTGGAGCAGTTGAAGGCCGGGCTGCCGACTCGTAGATCCAACGGAAGTCCAGGTAGTACCGAATGAATTCAGGAATCTTAAGCATCAATAATGGGAATATCATGGGGAATCATTGATATATTCCCATTCATGATATATTGAATGCTTAAGGGTGATGATATATTCATCATATATTCCCATTCATAATATAAGATATAATGGGAATGATATATTGATATATTATGATAGTCAGTTGCTAAACTGGCGGATATATTTTCATCCGCATCCCCCATTCATAATGTTGATTTCATGGGATTCTAAGGGTGATTTCATGTTTTTATGTTTTTGTTTAATGGGCTATAGTGTGGGATTCGAATGACACATCCCCCTGGTTATTGGTCCCAAACACATATAAATATCTACTCTACTAAATGGTTTTTGGGTGGTGTTTATTATGAAGGGTCGATTGAGGGTAAGGGATTTGCTGTGTTTAAACCGAAACAATTCGATGGCCAATGCTGCATATTTGCTGTACTAGAGAGTGCCAAAGATGACCAACAACTGTGGTTTGAACATGTTTGAACCATGAATTCAGAACATACCCGTGTCTGGGACTATCAACACGAAACGTGCCAGAAACTCGTGACTATCAACACATCGCCGGCAGCACAAGTGGGGTCAGGTTGAACCCAAGGATGATGCAGAACTCGCACACAAGTTCTCCGTCTATGAGTGCCCTGGCTGTATTGCAGGTCCCTGCTGCAGCTATAGAACTGGCCATCAGACATGCATAGCAATTATATTTACAATACAACATATATATATATATAATCATAACACGTATATATTTAACTATGATATACCAATATACCCATGATATAATCACATTATTGGCATATTTTACCGACCATAATCCAACCATTAACACCATATAGTTATACATATATACCCAGTACAGAACCATTGTATATCTATTCTAAGTCTGATTTCCATATATAATAACATTGTTATACCATATTCTATCAACCATAATCTATAACTAGCACTATATAGTTATACTATTATATAATATATTACATACCCAGTATATACCTATTCTATCCTGTTCGAACTATTCTGGTTGGTGGTTTGGAACATTTTTAATTTGTCCATTCAGTTGGGAACAATCATCCCAACTGACGAGCTCATATTTTTCAGAGGGTCAGGTATACCACCAACCAGATATTCAATTTTCTATTTTTCTGGGAAATCCAGTCCTTGGGAATCTATAGGGAATAATTGGGAGGATATAATATTAGATATTAAACAATAGAATCTATCTCCAGCCACAGGTCCTACTTCTCCAGCGTGGTCGACCTCCGCGCCGAGCTCTTCGGCCTCTGGCAGCGCGGCGAGGCGCTGCTGGCCGCGCCCGATGCGCAGACCATGCGCACGGCCATCAACCGGGCCGCGCGGCGGTCACAACGGGGAAGACACCACAGGGCACCCGGGGACCTTAGTGAAGCCGTTGAAAAAATTGAGTTTTTTTTTTTACAAGGAAAAATGGTGGCTTCAGAAAGTTTTAGATATTTATGGATAGTTTACCTTGGAGATGCTGGAGATACTGGGATGATGTTGGATGTTTTGTGTGATTTTATACAGTTTGTGAAGGCGTTTAGATGAACTTTAGGTGATTTTATGCTAGTAGTTTCATGTAGTTTCAGCCTTTTACGTGGTTATGAGGTGCGCCAGGTGTTGTCAGTCAACAACACAAAATGATACATTATTTTCAAAAACTTGAAGGAACTACCCTCTGGTAATTTAACATAGCTATTGAACATCACCCATTTAGTTTGTTGATTTGCCTTTTTTTCAGATTGTGATGTTCATGTTCCATAGTTATGTTAAATTATATACCCTCTATATCCCACTTATAACCAGGGTTAGAACCCATTTAGTAAGTGAGATGAGGCTCCAGGGTATGGATGCCCTTTCTAGGTAGACAGCTTCGACAACTTATCCATCCCTGAGAGGACGGAGTTTCCATGGAGTTTGGATGGAAAATCCTAGCTATAAATGGATGATTTAGGGGTACCCGTATTTTAGGAACCACCCCATAATATATATATATATAATATATATATATATACATATAATAGATGTAATGTATATTAACCAACCAGCACATTGATCTGATACTTGGGTGCGTCTGAAAATGGGGTCAGAATGTCGCCAGTTATGGCCATTTCAATATAGAGGGATGATGAATCGCGGAGCCAACTGGGATGAGGATAGAAACTGCGGTAACCTGGAACCAGTGAGACTGTGATTTCTCTGTTTGACATGATTTTCACTGCACTGGAATGTACCCCAGGCTGTACTTTTTTTGGTTGATCAGCTTTTGGATGGCGAAAATCACTCCTTCACGTTCGCACTACGCCGCTACGCGCAGCGCGCAGGAGTCGCCATTGGTTTGTGTATCATATGATGAGCACAGCGTCCAACAATCACCGCCACTTGGACTTGAGCACAGATATCCTTTGCCAAGACACAACGGGATGCAACCAACCAAAATTCATACAACATACAGAGGTAATTTAAGAATTGGTTGTGTTGACAGGCAAGGATCTCTCTTTTAGCAACTTGGTATTGACCCATTTTCCTATCTACAGGAACGTGGTATGTTTAAAGGCACAATCCAAAGCGACAGGCCATTTTGGGGGGTCCCTTGCCTACACCGGCGCAGAAGCCGCGGGAAGTAACTTCCCTTGCATATGAATCAGAGATGATTGGCAGGTTCAGGGTGGTATTCAAAGACCCTTGATCTTCTTCTAGTCATGGTAAGGAAGGTCAAAGTGACGGTTCTGTGTACATGTTTTTTTTCAGGGCTTGGCTCAACTACCAGCATTTACCAACCAGTTACCGCGTCCATTTCTTTACCCAGTCATATCGCATTTGAGGAAAAATGCAGAAGATCATGGAAGACTTGGAAGAGCTTTTTGAAGCGGCACAGGACAGGGATGAGCGTGGTTGTAGGTGGTTGTAGGGGGCCAGCGCGGTGTCAAGGTTTACTACAATCCCATCCCAGTATCAAATACCCCCACGGCGGGGCGGTTCTATAGCTTTGTTGTTTTGAAGTAATGTTCCATTTTGCCATATATTTTATGTGGCCCAAACCAACATCAAAACTCTACATTTAGCATCATTCAGTATCATTTTGTTGGTGTTACTGGGTATGACATCATAATTTATATACATATATATATATACATTCACATATTACACATATATATATATATACATGTGTATATATATATACATTCACATATTATATATATACAATAAAATATATCACCTTTTTCTGGTCCCAAAATTCATTTCCCCAACGTTTCCGGCTAGCCGCTTCACCGTGCAGGACGCTGCCAGCAGCGCGATCTGTGGAACCGTGGAGTTGACGGACGATCCGCAGCTCGGGGTCATGGAAGTGATCATCGGCCCATCCTTTGATCCTGGGAAGTTGGAGGGGAGTGGCCAGAGACTTTCTGGGAAAACTTGGGATTTTTGTTTAAATGGAGGTTTACAACTTGGGATTTCTTTTTGGATTTCTTACTGTTTAGGACATTTCCTTGAAAATATATGATAAATGGAGGTTTAGAGCTGGAACAAATCATCGAACTAAAGGGGGGGAGACAACATTAAATGGGAAAAGTGATAGATAAACACACTGGAAGAGTGGGTGATGAAAATACAGATCACATACTTGGGATAAAGATACATTGCAGAAGTGGAACATCACATATATACTGTAATTTGTTTTGTGGACTTGGTGAACCAATAATTTATTGAACATTTATCACCAGGACCAGGATATCGAAGATGTGTGAAGGCCTTTCATTTTCTATATTTGTTTAGGATCGTAAAAACAAATCCGGCTGTTTATGGAGTATGCCGTATGCCTCTGCCATTTTAGTTGTGGTACCTAATGGATCCTAGCATGACCCATACCCATGACCCATACATCTACCACCTTTTGAAATTAAGAAGGCATACATGCCATAATCATGTGGTTTGGGTCCCTGCGACGAAGCCTGAAAAGATGGAGATATTGAGTTTGGATTAGGCCAGCTGTAACACTTTCTCTTGCAGTTTCAATCTAAAGTTACACCCTGCCTACAGTGTGTTTTTTTGAATCCTTGATCACACATGAGGTACTAATGTCATAACTTACTTGTTTCAAAGGTTGGATGATATTTGTGCTGTTCAAAACGACCCAATCAGTGACGATGGAAGAACAACCAATACAACCACGGATCAGAGACCAGCAAGTAAGCGGGTATCTCTATATGTTGTCCAGTATACACTCTTTCAACGTAACATGGCCCTCCGACTCAGCCTTTTTGGCAATGAATCGCAGACCCTAGCGGCAAGTACATTTCCACATTGACATCAGTCAACTACATGTTTTAAGTCAAGTATACAAAATAACATTAACTACATGTTGTTTATCAACTATACAACATGTCACATGATTTTTTGGTGGTTGTTCTTGGTCGCACATTTCACCATTTGTTCATCTGAGGACATTGATGCATACAACGACGGGGTGAAAGGCAACCCGTCCAAAGGCATCCTCGCAGCTGCGGAGCGAGGTGCCGTTCTGGATATGATATGGGGGTGGGTATAGACCTGGATCAATCTTGGATGGCTAGTTGGTGTATGTGAATCTGTTGCTATCAATGGGGATACAAGCCAGCTAACAGAAATAATTAATGTTTTGCGCTATCTACGATTGGCAATGATATGGGGTTCTCGAAAGGGGGTACCCAGAAAATCTTCCAAGTTGTTGGTCATGTGGAATGGGGTGTGCCCAATTTTTTGGCTACCACAATTTCGAGAAACACCCATGTAATCAACCAACATGGCTACAATGTGCACATATTCTCCAGCAATCAAACGCGGCAATGGAAAACCTCCCCATTTATAGATTATGTTCCATGAGTTTCCATGGTTTTCCAGGATTTTCCCATTACGACCTCTATATATTGAGTGCGGGGAATATCCAGCTAGCCACGTTTGCTGTGTGTCAACGATCATGATCCGAAACCGCTGCGATGATCTGAGTCATGGTTGAATAACTCCGGTAAGGTTTCCAGGTTGATAAAAATCTGTACGCTTACTCTATATCTCCAAAATCACCCCATTTTCCCAGGCACATAGTCATAAATTGTCATAAACCTCTCACCATCTATCACCATCTATCCGTTCACCCGACCATCGCCAGGCATTTTGGACATGGACCGTCAGTACAACGCGGTGAACTTCCAGTTCTTCGCCCAGGCGGCGGAGGCCGGCGTCACTCGTGCCGGCGCGGAGGCCTCCTTCAAGCGTCGGCTCTGTACCAGTCGCTTGAGCTTTTATATCGAGGCCGGGGGGGAAGGTGGTGCCCGGGGCCAAGAAAAGATGATTTAACAAAGAATGGCGATTTCAGATTGATACATGAGGGCGCTAGATAGATCATGATATATATATCTATATATATATATATATATCTACAGATTCTATAGTTGAGGGAGGGTAGGGGGGTTGACACAAATGACTCATATATATATATATATATATGGTTGGTGGTTTGGAACATTTTTTATTGTTTCATTCAGTTGGGAATAATCATCCCAACTGACTTTCATATTTTTCAGAGGGGTAGGGCTCAACCACCAACCAGATATGGGTGGGTTTCAATAATGACTGTTATGTGTGTATATATATATATATATATGTTGAAAAAAAATATATATATATATACATATACATCTTTGAACCATTGAATTCATCTTGAAACCTTGACACAGCCAGTCCAACCTCTTAGAACCAGGAGTCGCATGGTTCCCGCATCTTTCCGCGGAACATCTTGTCGCAGCTGAGTTCCTGGGCCCCAAGAAATGATTCCTGGGCATGGATGGTTTGACAGTTTGATAATGTTTGATATGTGGTAAAGTTCGACCAACATCTAACAGACATTTCTTGTAAAAAAAAACAAGACAGGATGATAAGGTCTTCTTTTCCAAAACATGAATTGGTGACATTGATGGTGTGCCCTTTGCATGCCGTGTAGGCAGATGTAGGCAGGCTAGTTGGAAAAGGGGCTTCAACAGGCATTTGTCAAGTCTGAAAACAGCAAAGAGTATCACTTCTATCCTTGCAACAGAGGTATATAGACTGGTCTACAGCCTTTCTTCACCTTTATTTTTGAAACAATTAATGTGTTCATGTTCACTTATGTTCACCTGTCAGTTAATTATAATATATATATACACCCTCTGGTTATTTAACATCGCGATGGTATAGATGGCCCATTTATAGATGGTTTACCTGGGTTTACCTATTAAAAATGGTGATTTTCCATGGCAAACTGTTAGTCATAACCAGAGGCTATACATAGTCCTGTGTTTCCTCCAACAGCTTGTCCGGCCGCCCAGGTCTACTGTTCTACCGCCGCAACGATGCTCTGAGACTTCCCAACGGTCAGGTCAATGAATTGTGCCTCGAAAAATCCCGAACGGTGCCCGCAAGGTGGTGGCCCCGAAGGGTTGCGAGCAGTTGGTTGCAGTTGAACTAGCTAGGTTGACTAGTTATGTGGGGCCCCCGTTCGATAGCTAAGTTGGTTTACTCCAATAATTATGATTTATGGTACTTATAACTATAGTTAATGGGGTTTATAAACCAACTTATAACTGGGGGGGCCCACATTGTAGTTATGTGGTGATTATATGTGATTATAACATATTACAAACTATAGCTGGATATGCTGGATGGAGTTGCAAACCAAGTTATAACTGAGGATGTAAGTGATGTAATTGATTATTATTATTTTTTACCATGAAGCCTGAGGTCTAGAACATGGAGGTATGATTTTTGAGCCATGTGTCAGAGCGATAGATGACACTATATAATCTGGGCCCATGACATATTCCATGTACATGAAGTGATAATCCATGTGCCGTATTGGTGGGTCTTTGCAACGTGGTTTTCATCTTTGCTGCCCAAAGATGTGATGACCCGCCTTGTGACTTTCGTATTTTTCAGTGGAAACTCAACCACCAAGCAGATGGGAACTGGTCTGTCTACCGCTCTGAATCGTAAAATCCATCAGAGATACTTTCTCTAAAATTACAACAGGCTCTACAATGCTCTATCAATGTCTATAAATATCATTCTAATTGATATCTAATTCATATTTATTCATGATTTGAGCATATTAAACCCACTGTTTGACCTTTTTGACGCTTTTCCCAGCACCTCTACCTCTGCGTCTCTCCGCCGAGGCGTGTGGCAACCTGCATCCGCAAGGCCATCCCCCGGATGCTGCGCGCCATCGTGCTGGACGTCTTCCAAGGGGACCGGAACTTCACGCCGCACGTGGCTTGGATGACCAAGGCCCCAGCGTCGGTGTTCGCACTGAGTGGATAGCCTGGATATGAGTGGTGGAACATGATGAAGATGAAGAAATATACTATACTATATATACACTATATAGTCTATATAGTCATGATTGATAATTGGCTAAATTGAAAAGTGGAATACTAACATTGATTAGTTGAATATGAAGTAATCTGAGATAGCCTGGATGCAAATCCCCTATCCATATTTGTTGTCAGTAGAGCTGATGTTTTATGAAGATAGCTGAGAAAAACTAGAATGGCAAGGAATGGACAGGAGGTGTGTTTGTTTATCGGGTTGGTGGTTTGGAACATGGCTTTTATGACTTTCCATATATTGGGAATAATTATCCCAAGTGACGAACTCATATTTTTCAGAGGGGTAGGTATACCACCAACCAGTTATTTTGTTTTTTCGTTGTTGTTTTTGGTTTACCACTGATGTCAGGGTCGCATCCACTTCTGGGATGCTGATCCAAGTCGGTGCCAAGGTGGAGAAAGCAGTTCGGGTGTATTTGGCGCTACATCAGGCCGGGGATCATCATCATCATCATCATCATCATCATCATCACCAGCGGGTAGTACACCCAGTTATAAGTGGGATAAACATAGTGCATTGGGGGACTTCTTAAAGATGGTTACCAGATGTTACCGGTAAACTAACATAACTATTGAAAATCACCACTTGTAATAGTTAAATCAACTATAAATATGCTATTTTCCATAGCTATGTTAGTTTACCAGATGTCACTAGCTTGGTAAATCACATATCTCGACTCTACTAGACATATCTAGACATATCTAGACTAGTGAGTGAAATGGGACACCATGGGACAGTGGGCTTGGAATTGGAAGATGATTTTGTGCTTGGCCCACCTGGGGATTTCCTAACCAGCTAGGTTTGATAACCAGAGGGTTTAGGTACCAGACCTAACAATGCCCAAGGATGAAACTGCAAGGGACATATTGGAGTAGAACACAGATAAATATTGATGACATATATTGACATATTGTATATACCATTGATACCTGCTGAAATATGGCATTTTTTAAAAAATTCGGACAGTTCAGGCATGTTATGGCAGTGCACAATCAGCTATACAGTACACTTATTTTCTGAGCTATTCTGGCTGGGCATGGCCAGCCAAGCACCAAGGATTGCCAGGCCACCAGTGGGAGGTTTCCGCCCGGAAAATTGCATTTTTTTAAGGGTGACATCCGGAAAATAGGCCTTAAAAATCAGACACACCCAAGTATCATATCATGTCATATCATATCAAGCTGATGATATCTGATGATGTATCCCACAAAATTCCACAAGTTATCCATGTTTTTTGCAGATTTTCCCATAATCCAATGGGCCAGAGAGGGTCTCTTTTCGTTGCGCAGCCCCTTATTTTCGTTTTCCTCCCAGGTGGCCATCAAACTGCTGGCAACCTTCCGAAAGAGCTACGAAGTGCTGTACCAATCGGTGCTGGACAGGGTGCAAAAATCCTGGGTTAATCTATGGTGGAACTATGGTTGATCTATGGTTAATCTATGGTTAATCTATGGTTAATAATTGGAATAACTATATATATATATATCTGGTTGGTGGTTTGGAACATGTTTTATTAGTTGAAGTACTGATCCAATCTGACGAATATTTTTCAGGGGGGTGAAACCACCAATTAGTATTGGTTCAATCTGGGGCCCCAAATCATTTAGCTAAGTTGGTTTAGTTCAGTTAACTAATTAGGATTGATTGTAGCTATATGTAATTGATGAGGTTTATAAATCAACTTGATTGTTTATTGATAACCATCAATGATCGGGATATCATGGGGATAGAATTATGGGGATGTCTAGGGGGATTCTGGTGATATTAGGGGGATGGGAACTAGATTTTTCTTTGTAAGATACTGTAAGCGATAACCGTGTCCCCTCGCAGTTGTGGGTGGAACCCACCTTTTGACCAGGGTCACGGTTGCAAATTATTCATTTGAAGCAGTTGAATTATTTATATAGTATATCATATTTATATATATAATTATAATAATATAAATAGCACTTATTTCAAGAATTAGTTCTATTCGTGTTTGAACCCGTGAAAACCAATAATTTCAATCCTAGCATGAACGATCCTGCTTGGAACGCAGGAATGGATCCAGCAGCCCTTCTGCGCGAAGAGTGACTCAATTAATTATCATTGTGGAGCCTTCTCACACACCGATTCCATTAGTGTCAAGTATCCAATCTTTGAGGATATTCATATATTATGAAATTATGTATATCATATACACACAGTTTTCCATAAATGGGAGTACCCCAAAATGGATAATGGGAAATCCCATTAAAATCGATTTATATAAATTGAGGGGTACCACCATTTTAGGACACCTCCATATATGTAACTATATAACATATATATATATAATTTACGTATCAGACATGATTGTAGCTCATAATATGCTTTCATTCCCCAAGTCATTTGGTTAAAGCCTGTTATTTTTGGCCTTGGCTGGTGATAACCATTTATGCTTGGTATTTATCATAAGTCTTGCTGGTTCAATCTGATGATCACGTTTCGTTCAGGGAACCTGGAAAATGCCCAGTTTCCGAAAACGACCTGGGATCCATCGAATCATAGTTTGGGATCTAATCACTATCCCTAAGTCTGTTATAATGTGATGGGTGTTTTTGAATGTTAGATCACTCATTTCTTAATAGTTCTGAGGGATAAATCATTGGTTGGGATCTAAAAAATGTGTTGTCTCATCCAACGATATCTTACATCACTCACTGACATTACTCATTCCACTAGGTCATAGATGTAAATTCACTCTTATTTATTTGAACTCCCATGTAACTAGTGCGTTCCCATCTCATTCTACCCTCTGGTAAACTAACATGACTATGGAAAATCACCATTTTTAATGGGTAAATCCACTATAAATGTGGTATTTTCAATAGCTATGTAACAAATTACCAGAGGGTACCCTAAGTTATTGGTGATTTCTCAGTAGTTCTTCGTGTTTTCCCCAAGTTTCTTCAGTCGCCTTCGTGTGACGTGGCGACGGCCGCAGAGGTGATGCGGAATGGCCAGACCTAGAGGAGTTGCTGGGACTTAAAACTGCCAGGTAATGCCAGGCATCATATGTCATCATGCGTAGCTGGGACATCCCACATGGTTTAACCTGCTGGTAAACGTACAAAAAACTATGGAACATCACCATTTTTCATGGGAAATTTCACGAATTAAATGGTGATTTTCCATAGTTATGTTAAATTACCAGAGGGTAACCTGCTGGAAATTCAACTTTGATCTGGGATTTCGAATGGGGATTTTTCACGAAGATGAGTGGAAACTGCCTGTCGGCGTTTGGCAATTGGCAGAATCATCCTATCCCATAGGATCCATGGTGCTGCCATATATGGTAACATTTACAACATTTACCATCAATATACCCCAAATGTTAGCATATATACCATACATGGATCCTATGGGTATGGAAAATACCGGTGGATTGGGGAAATCCCCGGACTGGAGGTCGAAAAAGCTGGGAAACTCAGCTAGCCTTTTCTGACTGATTCCCAGAGGCGACCATCTTTTCTGGCATGGATCCCCTGCTGGGAAAAATGACAGAAACAGTGTATATATAACTTTAATAACTCTAATAACTTTAATAGATACTGATAGATACTGTATTTTTTTAATTAAATGGCCATGTTCAACAGCTATCCTTTTTATCACCAGAAGGTACAAAAAAAAATGAGTAAATAGCTAAAATGTTCATGGAAAACTCCCGATTTGAATCCAATTTTGGGGTCAAACAAAAAACAGTGACCAGTCAGATTTTGTTGACGGGGACGGTCCAGCCATGGGATGGGATGTTGTGTCCTCCGCGTCCTGCGCGCCTGCTGCAGGTTGTTGTTGGGTTCCTCCCTTTGTTCTGTCCCCTGGTCCTTGCTTCGCGAGGTGCGGGCATGGTGACAGTGTGGGGCGTTGAACTTTGAAGCAGAACGTGAAGTCATATGCATATATGGACATATATATACAATATTATCATCATTACTATTATTGTTAATTATGATTATTACTATTTTATTATTATTGTTTTTTGTTATTATATACATATATTGGGTTTGGGCTAAGCCCAAGTGATTAGAATACATGAATCCCAACCAATTAAAATTTGAAGTCTTTTTGGACTTTAAACATTTGTTCAAGTTGTTTTTGTTTTTCAAATCTATTTGTGGTTAACAGATTATGTGTGGTCTCAAATCTATTTGTTTTCCACGTTTCATATATCAATGGGAATTTCCGGATCCTAAAATGGAGGTACCTACCATATATAAGGCTTATATAAGGCCTATGTAAGGGAATATCACCACAAAATATGGCCTTATACGGTACAGTACCTCCATTTTAGGATCCTGAAATTCCCATTGATATATATATATATATAAATATATATATATCTCTCTCTCTCTCTCTCTCTTTCATGGTTAGTCTCCACGTCTCCAACACGGCTATCTCAGGCCTTCGTCCGAAAGCTCTTGGTGCAGCTGCTGGAGAGCACCACGACGAATGCCAAGGCGCCGATGCGCCAGCGCTGTGAACACATCTTCAACCAGCACCGGAGCCTTGTGGCCGTTGGGAGTGGGAAATCGGAATTCATATGTTCTATAGATGCGGGACTGATAACATGGTAAATAACAAGTACAATATTCAACCGATAGACTTTCCTATGTTTTCCAACCAGTACAATGATGGAAAGAAATGGGTAACCACGATATATTAGCGGGATTCATATGTTCTAGAAATGAGGGATCAACATGGTTTTTGGACTCCAGTCCTTTTTTGCGGCACCAGGGCATGGTTTTTTGTTTCTATGATTGGTCGAGTGTCGCTGTCCCAGTTTTCTAGGTAAACATTGGGAAATTATCCCTTCGACATCCCACCATTTTAGGTTTCAGGCTGGTGAAACCTCCATCTACGGCTGTTTCTTTGCCTTGTTTTGTAGGGCCAAGGCGTTGAGGAGAAGTGCCCTAAAAAATATTTTGGGGAGTTTTGAAGAGATGGTGGATCATTGTCAGGTGACTGGAAACATGTTACCCTCTGGTAAACTAACATAACTATGGGAAATCACAATTTTTCTTGGGAAATTTCACGAATTAATTGGCGATTTTGCATTGTTATGTTAAATTGCCACTTTAGACTCTGGGATTCTTGATTGCAGTTGACCAAAAATGAGGAACTTTCTGGAGAGATTGACCTACATTTTGTCCTTCTTCCAGGCCCGTGAATCCCTTGCTTGTGCTGAAAGGCTGAAAGGCATGGTACCTTTGAAACCTCGCAGGTCAAAAGTGATGCTTTCTGGGCAATTTTGGTGAACGTCATCCATCAACCATGATCAACCATGGCATGGGATGAATATACCCTATCACGTATTGCGGATTGATGTACATATATATATATATATATATATTCCAATATAATTAATAATATATATATATATATGTGTCCATGAAGCATCCCATGATGTTGGTTAGGATGTCCATGTTAATGAAATCATTCCAATATATATGTCAATCTATTCCCAAAGCCCCATATTTCATATATTTCCATATAGCATTCCTATGAGTGTTGCTTAAATCCAATGGAAACACCATGTAACTTGACCGTGGCTCGGGTCCGCTGCGCCAGGCTGGTCCAGGCAAGCTGGCCATTCAGGACATGGACAAAAAGTACAGTTTCTGGGTGCAAAGATCTGCAGGTATGGCTTTTAACAGTTATAAATGGGAATATAATGATATATAATTGGTTGGTGGTTTGGAACATGACTTTTATTTTCCATAATAGTTGGGATGATGATCCAATCTGACTTTCATATTATTCGGGGGGTAGGTATACCACAAACCAGATAACCTTAGTTATAGGAGTTAGCTAATCCCATTTATAACTGTTAGTTGGGCCATAACTGTGGGGTAACTGGGAATCTGATTTAATGGGAAAACAACATTCATAACCATTAACTAGATGGATGTGTAGGGAAAGTCCACTTGATAGGCTACGTATGTCTAGGTAAAGTCCATTTGATAGGATAGGTAATCTATGATATGTATCCATTTGTAGATGGCTGTTCTGTTTAAAAGAAAGAACAAGACTGTGTTTCACCGCCATGTTTGATTACCCGCAGGTAGCCCCACGAGTGATTTGGTTGCTGATAGGCTCTACGCTATCCAGATCTACACTACCCAGGCTATTCATCGTATTGTATAGTAGATCGAATCACCAAACCTAACGGATGAAACACGGAACATCAAGGTATGAATCATGTACCAAGAGCTTTGGGTCATTGTGCCTGTTTGGATGGACCATTTTCCTATTCAACATGGGAAATTGATGCTACCCCAAGGGGGATACCCCACGAGCTACATCCAGACAAAAAAAACACCGTCGTTGGTAGCTGAAGTACCCATTTTAGTACCCCTTTTTAAGTACATGCCTTCGAAAAAATCCTTCTCAAAAAAACATTCTGAAGTAAATTTATAGGTTCTGAAATTTCAACAAGTCCCAAATACCTTGGTTTACATCAGAAATTACTCCATTAAGTACATGATTCTAAATATCCCACTTGTTCTGAAGTTACTTCGGCACTTCCCCGTAGGTCGATGTGCAGGAACGCTGCCCAAGCAGGCCGGTCCCGTTACTGGTGCGTTTTACTTAGGGAATGGATGGGTTGCTGGGGGGTTGCTGGGATGATGACATTACTAGTGATGACTGGGATCATTCCCGAAAATTCCCTGCGTAAAACGCACCAGTAAGTTAGTATGTAGTACTAAAATGTGGTGAAAAAGGCGTCACCAGGGACTTTTCTGGACATATCTTTGAGTAGATGATGGTAGATATTCGTGTTTTCCCCAAAATGAGGTGCAGACTACAGATAGCCCAGTTAATACCTACAACATCCTACAGGATGGGCCCCCCCAGTTATAAGTGGGTTTATAAACCATTATAACCCCTATTAACTCTAGTTATATCTACCATAAAGCCACTTATAAGGCAACTTAGCTATCTTGGGGGCCCCATCCTGTAGAACACTCATTGACCAAAATTGGGATGCCCACCAGAGTTCAGAGGATTTTTCCATCAAAAACTTCCATGGCTAGGCCGGAAAAAAGAACCATCTGTCGCTGCTCCAGCTGTGGGTTATTGTTGGTTACATCCCCGTGATTTCCGCCAAACATCACCATGAAATATCCCCATGATTGGTTCTGATATATCCGACTACATTCCATTGACTATAGAAGTTAAATCCCTATTAAACCCAACCCTAAACCCTTTTTAACGTTACTTAAATCATCTTAAATCCACATTTAATCCCGTTTCAATCACCATTTTTCCTGGTGAACTTGCCATGATTGTTGGTCGGTCAATTTTTATTCAATCACCATTTTCCATCATCAACTTCCATGAACATCCCTACATAAAAAGGCAGTACCCTCCGGTAATTTTACATAGCTACAGGAAAATCACCACGTTTAGTAGGTAATCATCTATAATGGACCTTTTTCCATAGCAAACTGTTAAGAAACCAGAGGGTACATTCCCATGATTTTTCCATTAAATCCCTTAGCTAAATCCCCATGTTGCGTCACTGTTAAATCACCTAAAGGCCATAAGTGGTTCCCGCATACTTAGCCAAGTTGGTTTATAACTCCAAAAAACTATACTTTGCGGTAGATATATCTGTACTTACTATGGTTTATAAACCAACAAACATACCTGGGGGGGGGCACCACCTTGTATCTATGGACATGTCTTTGAAAATCATGGGAATATCTGGGAAAATGATTATAATATATTATAATTCTATATCATCATGGGACTCCACATGAATCCACCTACTAACCATGATTCCCACTTTCGCAGGAACGCGAAGCCCTGGTGGACGCGGCCAAGGAGGGCTCCGGCATCAGCTCCATGGTGGATCTGTGGCAGGCGCTGGGGATGCAACGCGCCAAGGACAGTGACGCAGTGATGTCGGAGGTCATCGTTTGGGGCTGGGAATCCTATGGAAATCCTATGGAAAACACTGGAAAATTGGAGTCTTAGGAGGATGTCTTTGGAATTTCGAATGAAATTGCTGGATTTTGATGTGATCCAAGGAAGCCGGAATGATGAATAATGATCAAACACGTGTGATTTCACATATAAATGTTGGGGTTTTAATCAATCTAAACATACATAAAATGGCAAGTGCCAACAATATTGGTGGTCAATGATATTACATCTATAGTATGTTTGGAAAGGATGTTTGATCATAAGAAAAAATGGTGGTGAAGTGTTGAATCATGCTGCAATGCGGCGCCCAGATAACTCAGTTTCAGATATGGGCATGCGTTTGTTTGAACATAGAGAACCCCTGAATCCACCGGTCAATGAGCATTATCCCTACTACATGATTGACCATATTGTGCAATATATATAGATCCAAATTTCAGACACAACCATGTTTGTTTGACCCAGATGTCCAAAGGTCAACTTGTAAAAAGACTGTTCGGGTCAAGTCAATCCTGGCAAAACAGGACGGTATTGCTAGGAGATGTAGCATTGATCACCGCAGATTTGCTGGAAATGATCACGTTTTCCTGCACTTGGCCATTGGATATATATATATATATATATATGTGATATAATTATATATGATATATTATAATATGATAATATGATAATACAATAATATGATAATGTTACAATCTGATAATATGATAACATGAAATGATTTGCACATGTCTACCCAATGGTGCATGAACTGCTTGGGAGTAATCTGGCTGACCCATCCAAGCTGGATCTGCAGGACAGCGATGAATCTGCTGTGCTGCAGCACATGGAGATCTTCTTGGAATTTTGGACACCAGGAAATCTCGTTATCATATCTAACCATTATATTGACCAAAGACTTCTGAAAAGGTGTTCCTTGTTTTCTAGGTTGTTTTTTTTTCAATTCACGGATATTCACACAAAATCTTTAGTGAATGAATGATGGAGACAAAAGCCGCGTACTTTTGAAAAGCATGCATCCATCACAGAAATTCACCGGCTGAGTCCCACGATGCTTTTTTCGGGTGAATGTCGCAGCACCGAAGTCCTCTTGAGAAAGTGAGATGGTATCATTGAAAAATAGAAGAGATGCCAACATATATATATATATATACATACATGTTTTAATGTGTTTTAATATGAAAGTTTGTCCTCTAAGTCGTCCAAGTAAATATTGGTTTAAAATATAATAATTGAAAAACATACTCTCCGGCCAAGATGAATATTCGCAACATTGGGGGATGATCATCAATAGTTGAGTATAGGGATCTGATCTATATATCATATGCATATGCATGATAAGGATTCCCAATATGATGGGATGGATCACATTATAAACCATGAATTCCATGTACTTGAGGGCCATGGCACACATGTCCACACCGAGGAATACGTCCAGAGCAACGTGGCGGCGTGGCGTGCCGCACCGGCACCAGCAAGCAACAGCGAGGGGCCAGCACTGCCTCCCAGTGCACTGCAACAGTTGCTGGGCTTTGGACAGGGTCCATGGGAGGGTGGTTTCATGGTGGTTTAACCAACAAAATGGTGGTTTTAATGGGATTTACCCTCTGGTAATTTCACATAGCTATTGAAAATGGCCCATTGAAATAGATGGTTTACCTATTAAACATGGTGATTTTCCATGGCTATGTTGAATAACCAGATGGCAAATCATGGGACACATGGCATTTAAATCAAAGATCATGCGATTTAACACCATAAATGGATAAAAAGGGTCTACGGTTGTCTGAAAAAATGGTGGTAAATCCATTGGTAAGTCAACATGTTCCCCACTATTGATGGCTATTTAGAAGGTATACCCCATTTTCAGACAGACCCAGGTAGGGTCCATGGAAGGAAAATTGACTGCAAGGTGGTGCCCGCAGGAGAGCAGAAAGTGGTGATTCCACCCACAAAATGGTGCTTGGCCTTTAACAAACACAACGATTTCTGGTTGGTGGTTTGGAACATTGGAAAAAATATTGGGAATAGTAACCCCAACTGACGAACTCATATTTTTCAGAGGGGTAGGTTAACCACCAAGCAGATTTATATATAGTTTATCTGTGATAGCTAAATTGGTTTAGTTCATTAGGCTAATGGTTGGGTTTATGGTTGATATATCGAACTAGTTTTATAGATGGGTTTGCAATCCAACAAATACAACTGCGGGGCATCACCTTGTACTTGTGTCCATGGAAGGATTTGGTTTAAGTCCTGAAGTCAAATTACTCATGTTGCCTACCATAGTAGTGATACACAAGCCACAGAGATTTTTTTTTGGGTGATCAATGTTCAATTTTGTGGCAACCGAAGATGGGATTACACAGAGATTTCAGGAAGATATATTATATATTATGTATATATATATATATAAACAAATATATACATATATTAGATGATTCTTGTTGGTTCATAGATCCTGATGCTTCACGCTGCCCTTGGCTTTACAACGTGCTTCCCGGCGGCGCGGTCAAGGTTAGCCACCATTGGAGCAGAGGCATCGGGACCTGCCATGCATCGGAGCGGTGCCTCGAGTACCTCGGAGATGGGGGATGGGTAAGGGGATGAGGGCATGGGTTAACACCTAGGGTTAAACATAAAAGAGGGTTCAAGACTTTGAATTGTTCGAAGCCGGTGGGAAATCGTTTTTTTTCCCAGACTTTTGCCGGTTTTTACAGGTGTATTATGCAGTTCTAATTCAAAATGGCTGCTTCTGGGATGTGAATTGGGAAATGTATTTCACTTCCCTGCCAACAGCCGCTCTCTTCCAAGTGGGATCAAGTGGGGTTGTGCAGATCATGCGGTGGTTCACTCCAGTGAGTGGGTTAGTTCACCCCAGTAACTGGACCAAGTTACCCCACTGAATTGGGGTTATACCTTCCCAACCAACTTGGCTGAACCACCAAGTATTATTGATCATTGATAGTCCATGAACACTGAACACTGCAGCCAATATCCAGATGTATTTTCAAATATATATATATATATAAATTTGTGATTATTATATATGATTTTATGTGTATTAATATATTATCTATGTATTATCTACAATAGAATATATAATCTATATATCCAGAGTTAAATCACCATGTCTTGGCTTAATCGCAGGTATATCCTAATTTTCCCCTGTTGGATCCAATGGTTTCTTGGTTGCATTGTCATGTGTGTTGGATCAGAAAAGATCTGGATAAATTGTGATGACCTCACTGCGATAGATTCCCATTGTATCGCCTTTATTTATGTCCCTTTTCTTCATACAAGGTGACGCCTCCCCGGTTATGTGTGTGTGTTGGTTTATAACCCCCATTAGCTATAAAATTAGAATTAATTAGATATAATCTACAATGAACCCAAGTGAAATTGGACTTATAAACGCCCCAACTTTGCGAACTAATCCATACAAAAATCACATTCAATCACAATTTTTGCTAGTTGGATCATTTTCAGTCACCACAATTCACCATGTGTCCATCATTTTTCCATATGTTCCCCATGGTTTTCTTCGGAAGCACCACCCTGCTCCCATGGGCAATCATCTCAGGGCGCGAGCGTGAGATGCAGCAGGCGCAGCGCTTGGCAGCGGAGAAGGCGCAGCACCAGGGCTTTCCAAAGCTGCCGCCGTCCAGACGACTGGATGGGAACTTGTGCTACTACTGTGCCATGGTTTTTTGGATGAGGATGGATGATATCTAGTATATCTAGTACATGTGTATGTATATATATATATATATAAACTGTTATTGTATATTATATACATACATTAATATGATGTAAACTGACGTAATGAGTATATAACAGTCTGCTTTGCGATGTTTGTTCTGAGGTTAGCAATGAAGCCCCTGACAGATGTAACATGCTCGCAGTTCTTCCTGCTTTATATATATAATATTGTGTTTATATAGTATTATATGTAATACATATAGAGAGATATACACGATGTCATGGGGATGGAGACTGATTTTTTGTCTTCAGGCTCATAAAAATGATGGGAGATGCTGGTGAATAGTCCATTTTGGGGTTGTTTTTGTGTTTTGAATCATTTGATTGATGGCAAACATTTGTACTTGATCCATGTGTGGGAAACTCTGGATTATCTGGGATGGGAATACTGGTTGGATGCATTAAATTCGTAAAGATTTGAACTTGAAATCTTAGGTTTGGGGTTGAACATGGCTCCAGTATATGTACAAAAAATGTCACGGCTTTCCATCGGCCACCCCGTTTTGCCGAGGTCAAAAGCGGTTCCCCAGCCGCATGGCGCTCTTCGCGCATCTGCGACGACTCATTGATAAGGCTTGGGAAATGGACTGCACTGCTAGGGAGATTTGGTCAAAAATGATAGGTATGTATCAAAGTACTGCCACACATGCAAAATTGTGTGCATGCATTGTTTGTTGTCACTTGTTGACTGCAATGTCCCTATTGTTTACTGCAAATACCACTACCAATTATTGATATTACGTGGGTAAACCCCTAAAAGTAAGTGGACAATGATGAATGAAAAACAATGATTTTTTGGGGGGTGTATATCCAATGTTTGGGCAACCAAAATGCAAACCAGAATTGTAGTTTTTGAGCATTGCTTAGAGCTTGGAAACTTGGGAAGCACCAAGGATTTGTTTTTATCAATATAGATTCCAGCATTTCAGTTGGGGGGTACTAAGTTGCATGCATAATCATACCTATTCCAATAGAAAAATCGATCAGAAAATTATCTGCAATTGTCTGCAGAATTACGTGTTTTCCACTATTTTCATCTATTTCCTGGATCGAAATCCATGTCGATAGCCCCATGCTTGCCAGGAGCGCTTCGTGGAAGGACATCATCAAGAGCACTTCAATTTGAAGGTCTCAGGAGCCTGGTCGCGTCGAAGTAGCTGATGTCCCATGACCCATTAATCATTAGTTTTCTTTGGGGTAATATGTTAAAAATCATGGCGAATCCAGTAAATCCAGTTTCAAGTGATACTTCGTGCATCGGAATCTTATTTAACTGGTTGGTGCTTTGGAACATGAAGTTTATTTTTCCACATATTGGGAATAATCATCCCAACTGACTAATATTTTTCAGAGGGGTTGAAACCACCAACCAGTTATTTATATCAGATTTCGAGTACAGTATTCGTTTGCTACTTGGGACAGTCATCCAAGCGTAGAAAATGGGCGTCAGTTCAAGTGCTGATCAAAAAACAACTTCACATTTGCATAGCCAGAATCTTTAGCAAACATGGATATGTGTCCAAAAAATCGACCCAAAGACATGCTCTGATTCCAGGCAGAGTGACGCTTGGTCTTCTTTGGAATCCCAAACTCGGTACATCCAGATGGCCTATGCAACCGGTCAAAGTTTTTGCGATGGTGCAGTGACAGGAACTTGATTCTAAGCCTGTCCTCACTTGGTTGCAACTTTTTTTTTGCTGGTTGTGATTACGGTATACTGGACCAAGCATCTTAACTTTGGGTTAATATCATTGCACATGCCAGTTTGTGTCCTGGTAAATGTGACTTGAAACTTCAACCCCCACAAGGTGGTGCTTGCAAGTGATATGTGTTGGTTTATCAACCCCAGGGCAGCTACTTCAACTCATATTGTAAAGCCAACACTGGTTGGTGGTTTGTGACATCAATTTTATTTTTCCATATAGTGGGAATAATCATCCCAACTGACTTTAATATTTTTTCAGAGGTGTTGAAACCACCAACCAGAAGGTTATTTGCACCAACTTAGAAGTTATGACTGTGCGATGAATCCTGTGAAATCCCCATTTTTGCTGATGAAATCCGCATTTTTCCGTTCAAGACTTCCTTGGTCCGACCCTCGGTCGCAGTCCACGCCCTGCCAGGACCAGAGTTGCTGCCTTCGGGGCCGCAGCAATGTATGGCCAAGACCTGTGGAAAGAGCTTCACATCCAAGACGCTGCGAGGGAAGGAGTTGGAACGGAAGGGAGGCGATGGAATTTATACGACTATACTATACTATACTATACTATACTATACTATACTATACTATTATAACATACGTATGTATATAATTGTGATTAATTGTGTGTATATATATATGTGTGTGTATGATAGTTGGTTGTTTACTTTAACTAGTATTATGTTTGCCATGTTGATATTATTTCATATATGTATACACATGTATATACATACATTTACTATATTTAAACATGCGAATATATATATATATATTTATACACATACATGTGTGTATATTATATATATATACACATATGTATTTATTATTGTTTGTTGTTTTAGTTGTTCCTTATTTCTAGTACTTTCTGCATCATTACCGTTACCATTATTTGTTGCAACATATTCATGGAAATGATGGGTTATATGGAATGGAGATGGATAAAGGGTTGTAAGATAACAAGAAACGTGCTGAAGCTATCAATGAACATGTTTCACTCTATTGGCATATACGTGGCGTACACCGCAAAGTGTACAGTAGCAAATTCTGATACAGTTGAACAGTGATCACAAGTTGATCCATTGGAGTTCAGGTTCCGCATGTTCAGACAGAGTTGAAGACGTATGTTCCTGGACCTTCAAAAGTACCAACAAAAACTGTCCTGTTGGAACTTTGAACGCAAATCTGCACAAACAGTGCGCAAATCTTGTAAACATGCCAGATTGGCACATTTGGATCAAACGTTCAGAAATCAAGTGGCGCAAGAACTTTTTTTGTCATGTAGACATGAGTAATCAAGATTGCCTGTGGAACTACGTTGAGTGTCAGGTCAATAAATTCTGTTCCATGAATTAGAGACACCAACATGTTTTGCAACTTTTTGCTACATATGCACACACAGAATATATCGTTCCTGCTCATCCGCCCCACTATTCAGGCATGGTCCCACCGACCTGCCCCTAATGACAAAAATACATGCAATTTTTTCCGTCGTATTGTAAACATTGCAGTGTGTTGATCCCCAAATGTTCCAAACCACAAACAAAATGTACGCAAAAAAGATGCAAAAGTACGCAAAAAATCCGCAAAAATACGCAAAAACCCACAAAAGTAAGCAATTTGCAATTTCTGCACTTTTTGTTTTGAACACTGTACATAATTCCACACAATTTCTTTTTTGGTGGGCTTACCAACCAAAGCTTTCAATGCACAATACGCGCAATACAGGGAGCAAAGGCTCATATTATTATAATCTCGACTTGGTGATAAAAGTATGATCAGATTGGGACTCGAATTTGCATGCATGTCACAATGCATCAATCATTGCTACCTGTGTGACGCTATGATATGACATGATATGACATTTTTAGCCCAAGTTCAGTGGTATAGTGACATGGTGTGGAAAAGCCTGTTCAATTTTGTTTTGGAACGTTCAGTTTTGGCGGGGAACGGTCAAAACGGCCCAAACGTGCAATAGTCCAAACGTACAAATATTATGGAACTTTTGAAGGTCCAGGTTTGTTTGGTCCTTAAGAAAAGGTAAAACTGTTTCCACAAAGGTTTTGTTTGCAGATGTTTGCAGTGGATAGCTTCCCAATGTGCATATCGCACTTGTTTAGCTTCAACTCTTCAACTTATGATGTGTTTCAGAAAAGTCCAACAAGGATATGGGTCGTTCGAGACCAAAACAGGACACTTTGTGGAAACACTGCGCTCTGTGAACCTAAGGACAGAGCTTTGCAAGTGCCTTGGCACCAACGGACCAGGGCTGAAATTGGATCTAAAGAGCCCGGCCCTGCTCTGGAGTTCCCGAATGTCTAACGTCAGTATTGTTCGTTTCCATCACCAACTGATTTCAACCATTTCTTCCACCGAGTATTACATACCCTCCGGAAAGCTTGGTTTATTATTGGACCTGTTAAATATTAAAGAGAATCTAATGTTAGGGGATCGCATTCTTTCAGTCCAAGTGGGTATGGATGCTCCCAGTAAAATCTCAGAACATATTCCATGATGCCATGTTTGGTTGCTTACACCCCTCTACCCACTTGCTCCCCAGATCAGCCTTGGATTAATGTCATTGATTGTTTAAAGCTCGTAGAATCTGATAGTGATGTGTGTATATATATATATATATACACACGTGGTTTTGACCCCATTGTTGCAAGTAATTAGCTTGTTGTAGCTTATTGATGCTTATCATGACTCCCCCTTTTGTTTGATTTAATCTATCATTCTTTGGGGATAGGAGTGGGAACCCAACCATAATAACAATCGGATAAGCCTTGCAGCGGAGGCACTACTTCCTGATGGGCGTCCCTGGTTACGAGGACGAGTACCATGAAGCTTCTGGCTACGACAGCGCTGCCCCTTGACTGGACATGTCGCAGGAGGGATGAGACCCGGGAGGATCACAACAATTTTCCATGAAAAATGCAACTGGTCATTTGGTAAGTATAGGGGGTCGTGCTTTTCAGAGCCAGTTGACTTGTTTTGACCATGCTCAGAATCTGTGATTGGTGAAGTAGGCCCTTCATTGCTCGTTTCGGCTGTCGGGTGCCATTGTTAAATTTCGGTCCTTGCCCGAAATTTATGATCTATCAACAGGCCTAAGCTGGTGCTCATGGAGGGCCCAGTTCAACTTCCTCGTCCATATATCCCCTGGTCCTGCATGGATCCCATGGTCTTTGAAGATGCAACAGAGGTCGATATGAAAGCCGTCTCTCATTGGCAGATGGCGCAGAACTCTCTGCCAATTATGTTGCTTCTTTGGGCATGGCTCCAATGTTGGTCGGGAATGCTCTTCCACGGCTTCCAGATTTGTCAGGGAAGCGAGAGCATCAAACATATTATGCCAATGGTTGTGCTAGTGACTAGTGGGACTGGTCATTGCAAATGTGATAGGATTTGTACATTTTTGTCAGAAAGGCTTGTGGTGGATTTGGACACTCCATACTTGGCTTACCAACATGGGAGGCAAATTATGCTGGGCATTGCCCTGACTGGGAACTATTGCGACTACGCAACTCCATATGGCGAAGTCTCCCGTTGGCATTTCGAATCATCGTGGAGATTCCTACGTGTCAAACTGTTGGCACTTGGAGCACGTTTGCTGTGGGAACCTTCCCTCAGCTCATCCCATACTCCAAGTTTGCAGAGGATCTAAGCAACGATGGGGTGAATTTGACGGAAGTGACTAAATTCCAGAGTGTCCAGAACGCTGCTAAAAAAGTTCCGGAGGACTACAAGGGACAGGGAAACCTTGAGGTAGGTGCCAAAGCCATACATCTCGAGAATGCTGTGTGGGCAGCTGCAGAATGCAAGAACTCAAATTGGCGCAAGCATGACATCACTTACTACCTTACGCCACAAGACTGGCTGGTTCCAGTTGCGACGCTGAAAAATGTAGATGAACTGGGGGGTGTGGGTTCTGCCAATCTCGTTGCATTCAATTACATGTTTTTTCAACGTTTGAAGTCTGTGCTTCTCCGACAAGACACCGAGAGGGCCGTTAAGCCTTGGCTGGAAAAGATGCTTGCCAAGAAGTCTACTGTGGTGGCCGGGGTATCAATGCTACTGACGTGGGAATCTATGGTGGAAACAGCGTCAGATTGTGCCTCAGACATGTTCGACATTAAAACAAGTAGAATTTCAGTAACATCACAGAGACCGTGGACGGTTGGCAGCGATACATTGCACTTTGAGTTGAAAGATGGATGGAAGATTCGGTTGTGGCAAAGTTTCACATTACTTTTGGTCGCCATCCTGCCTATCCGAAAGAAGATCTTGCAGGTGCGTCAAATCACCGCTCCACTTCCAATGGCCTTGGTAACTTTGCACACCAGTCTGGATACAGTAAGCCTTGTGACTACCTGGCTGCTGTGTGCAATGGCCCCCGCAGCTGTTTTTTTTCCTTGGACAAGCTTTAGAAAGTGGATGTGAGCAAATTCAGCCGTTTGCTGTTCAAACAGTGCTGGGGATGCAAGATGTCACCGCTGAAGACTTTAACACTCAAGCGCCCACGTTCCTGGGGGAGTATGCGATGAAACATAGTGGACAATTGTTGGTTCTCATTCATGAGGCTATTCTTCCTGCGCTTGCGTGGAACCCAATTTTCTTTCTTGCCCGTGTTGCCAGTACTCTGGCCTTCTTAGTCATTTCTGCTTTGCTGAGCCGTTTGTTGTGCGCACAGCGCTTTGCAACGTGCATTTCTGTTGGCATATGTGGGCCACTCTGGCTCTTCACAGAGGAAGGGGAGAAGGATTACACATTTGAGTCAACAGCACGAAGTGTTTGTCTTTTGATGATTTATCGCAATTTCCTTTTGGCTGCCATTGTCTTTTTCACATGGATCTCAGTGGATTCCAATTCAATCCAGCCGTTTTTGGCCCTGATTTGCAATAGGGTGTTGGACGTGCTCTCTTTGAAACTCTACTGTCTGGCTCTTTTCGCTGGCAATGGCCTAACAGGTCTTCTAGCTACAATTTGGCTATTCATGACGCAAGAACCGCAAAGATGGGCTATGCGGCTATGCGCTCAACCAGCCCATGTGTTCCTTGCCTCCAGTCACGGTTCTGCTTACGGCGCATTTGAAGCACGCTCCGAACAGAGCCTTTCGGTCTGAGCAGAACCCCAACGGCGTACGTAGAGCGCCGAGGGAACAAAAAGCGTCAGGGGATTGGTCCAGGACATCTGTCTGCAAGGTGGAGTGAGGTTGAAGAGTGGCATGGCCAGATCAATCATATAATATCATGTAATTATGATAATATATGACAATTATATGACAATTCTGTCTCACCAACCAAAATACATCAAAATACCATATGTTAGCACCAAGCATGGGGATGTTGAAACAACGATGGATGGACGTAGGGTATCTCCCCGGCTTCGCCCGGCTTCATTGGTCGCTGTACGAGAACATCACCGCTATTTGTTCCATGATCCCAACCAACAGTACATTGAAATATAGGAGGATCTAGTAGTCATCACCTGCGGCCTGAGGCCTGTCGAAATGTTGCGAATCACACCTAAATTTCTTCACGTCAAGAGTTCAGATATAGGAAAACAGTACCACAGTACCACATAGTTAGAGTAGCTATCTCTATATAATGGGTCGGAATACCCACTGAAATGTTTCCGTTGCAGATATTTTTGCCAGTCAGGACGCTGGAGGCGCTTCGACTTCCGTTTTGCAGGAGGACAGTGGCTGGGAAGTTGTGGAGATGGAGTTGGACCTGTCGAAATGTGCTCCGGCGAAGCTCTGGGAGAACCCACCGGTGAAATGGGATGAATATGGATGAATCCCTTCCCCCTAATACACACGGCCTAGAAACCGTGGTTTAGTATGGGATTTCCACATTCCATTGGGACTTGTTGATGGGGGTGTTTGATAGGAGGATGGGATTAGCGGGATTTAACTGAAAAATACTGAAAATAAAGGTGGTAACATGTATCATGGGAGATACTGATATACTAGTGGATAAACTGGATGGGGTGCCCTCTGGCAAACTAACATAGATGTGAAAATTCCATGGATTCCTTACGAAGATGATCTACAAACGGTGGATCTTCATGGATTTTCCACATCTATGTTAGTTTAGAGGAGGGTACTTTACCTTGAACTGGATCTGGATGGTAAACCGACATAGACAAATCCGGTCTATGACTTGGATGGGTCGATGCTTTCAGGGTTTGGATGGGTACAGTAAGTTGTATATAACATAGATCATAGACCGTGAGGATAGTCAAGTGTTATCAGTGCTTAGAGGAAACTAATCTTCGAATCGATCGCTCATGGAAGGGTCATCATATGTCATTTGTCATCATGTATGTTGGGAGGATGTTTTTTTTTCCCGCAGTACTATAGCGATTTAACTTGCTTACAGAACCAGGAAAGAAAATGCAGGGCGACTCAGATCTGCCATGAGTTGAGAAATTTCAAACACCCTACTGAAACCTAGGGTTTTATCATTTCATAGTGAATAAGGTCGTTAATCCAGTGAAAATGTTTGATTTATGCCATAGTTGGTGGTTGTTGACATGGGGTTTTCAAATTATATAGTTATCAAATCATGAATGTTAGTTGATGGATTTTAGAGCCAAATGCTACTACAAGTTGTTGCCAGTGAAATGTTAGTTTATATCCCCATAATTTCCCATCTAACTTGATATATCTATATATATATATATCTACTCTACCTAAGCCCAACTATAGCCAACCAGATACAGCATAGCAAGAAGGTGCTGTTGCAACAGTGCCACCCCAAGAGAACTTGAAATTCATAGGGATGGAGGTATGACGGTGTGACGTGACTTCTTAATAGAAAAACAGTCACAACTAATTCTGTTTTTGTATCTTCCCTTCTTCCAAAAAAAACATGTGGGATAGTATAATAACCCCGGGCATTTCATTTTAGCTTGGCTTGCACCTTAACACTGCCAATGCATTGCCGGCCTAGATAACGGTAAGAGTGAAAAAAACGATAACAAGCTTATACATGTATACATGTTCATAAAGCCTGAAGATGGCAACCTGCACAGGCCTCCAAAACGATAGCCAAACGATAACAAAAACGATAACAAAATATGAAAAAAACGCGAGTGTTTGGGCGGATACCCACCTGACCGGTTTGAGCATACCAGTTTTCGAAGACCTGTATCTTTGATACATAGCGACGGAACATGAAGGGACATGAAGGCAAAATGAAAGGAAATGAAAACAAAATGAAAGGAAATGAATGGAAAATGAAAGGAACATGAGAGGAAATGAATGCAAAATGAAAGGCGATGAAAGGAAAAAAAAACAAAAGATGACATTTGTGTTGACTCTCGACCAAGGATGCTCTCACCCACAGCAAGCTGGAAATTTCACACTTATTGTCTACAGGGAGCTCACCACCTGCAAACAAAACGATAAGAGTAAAAAAAAACGATAACGTGATTTTGGGTCATTTAAAAAGATACCGGGTTTTTATACAACCCCATGTATGCAACAGGGCCGAACATCTCTGGCCATATACGGCTACAGGTACCAAACTTTCGCATCGCCCAGGTGCTGTGTGCTTAGATCGCCCAGCAGATGTGGTCCTGGTGCCCTGTGGCCACATCTTTGCGTGTCATTGTTGTGGAAAGAAACTGAAGGAACTTTGGCGGCATGCAACATTAGTGGTGATGATGGTGATGATGATGATGATGATGATGATGATGATTATGATTATGATTATGATGATGATCATGATGATGATGATGATGATGATGATGATGATGATGATGATGATTGATGTTTGATGATGATGATGATGATGATGATGATGATCATGATGATGATGATGATTGATGATTGATGATTGATGTTTGATGATGATGATGATGGTGATGATGCTGATGATGATAATGATGCTGTTTGATGATGATGATGATGATGATGGTGATGATGATGATGATGATGATGATGGCGGTGATGATGATGATGATGATGATGATCATGATTCATGATGATGATGATGATGATCATGATGATGATCATGATGAATATGATGATGATGCTGATGCTTGATGATGATGACGATGACGACGACGGCACGACGATGACAACACGACGATGACGATGACAATGATGATGACGATTATTATTGTTGTTATCTAATGTTATCTATTTATGTTAAGTAATTTTATCTAATGTTATCTCATGTTATCTAACGTTAAGTATGATTCTATTTGAATCTTTGCGATTTTATTTGATACCATATGATTCTGCATGATTCTATTTGTTTCTATTGAGTTCTATTTGATTCTATATGGTTGCATTGATACAGAATTGATTATGTTTCTTATTATTTGTCGTGTTTCTATAGTTGTGGACGGGCAACGTGGAACATGTATTTCAGGATCGATCGTGTTTGCCCGAATTTTCAAGATGGTTTCGACATGTTGTTCCCATTATTTCATTGACACATCAAAAGGCAGCTTCGTATCATTCATTGTCCTTGCTGCCAAACTTTCGAAACAGCCTTTAAGGAATGCTCGCTGTGCCGTGCGAAAGTCTCTCAGGCGCTGATGTTTCCAGCTCTCATCATCATCAAATAGACCATCCGCATAAACTTGCTTTCTTTTAGTATGTTTGAGAAGTGAAGTGGGTGTGGTTTCAGACCCTACATCCAGACGCATCACATGGATTAACATGGTGTCATTTTCATTGATGAATTTGTGCCAGCATTGTGGTGATGTTCAACTAATTCTGATACTACCCCTGGCAAACAAGCAGAAATCATCCAGTTAAAATCCCATCCCTCAATCGTATTAAATGCCCCATCAATAGTTGCAAGCATGTGTTTCTGGCAGACGGGATTGATTAGATTATGTACCTGCTGAACATTTTATATATTTCCCCCCTCTGCTGAAGATGCCAAACCGTAGAAATGTCCCATGGACGGCAGGTCCTTAAGGTCTACTACAGCTCATGATCCCAGCGCGCTGTTCGTCACTGACCGGAACTCCCTGCCATGGGAGGATCCCAACTGACCTTCGGATGGGTTGAAACCACCAACCAGTTTTCAGCGATTTTGCTGCTGGTCGTTTCTTGCAAACCGCTTTGGAGCCCATGCAATCATCATCAATCATTTTTTTTCACTTCCTCAGTTAAATGGGAAATGCAAGGATTCAAAGAAACAACCAGCTACTGGCAATACCACTTGACACTTTCAAGTGGTTTTAATCTTAGGACATTTTAGAGCTGAAGAAAACCCGGTCGCCTGGCTCTCTCGAAAAGCTACGGCGCGGCTGGAGTCTGCCATCAGAGATTGTACAGTGCAGATCCTGAATGGCAATGTTTTGGGTGGATAACTCTGCCATTTTCCTTATGATGTTGAATGTTGCTGTGTATATTTTGTACATAAGTCGTATATTTGTTCTGACAGCGATAATGAAATACCCCGCCAGGCTACCACGCTTGAACTGCCAAAAAGACATGTTCAATCCTCCTGTTGACTCAGCGATGGCGGGTTCACCTGAATGCTGGCTCCACCATGGGATGTGATGTACAGCGGAAAAAAAAGTAGTACCGTGTCCGCTCGCTTGTGTTTACCCTCCGGCACTTCAACAGTTTGCAATGGAAGCTATGGCTATGGCCCATAAAAATAGGTGATTGCATAGCAGCAAGTTGCAATTACCAGGGGCAGAGTGTGGTGAAACCTCCAAACCTTGGATTTGTTAGCTAAGGCCATGGATTCAGTGTGATGGAAAACCATATGGCTGTATAGGCTGGCCTGAAATGTTGGGAAAACACAAAAATCTCATGGTTGATCCATGTTGATCCTGGCTTTTCCCACTAGAATTGTCACATCATTGTTTGGGTAAATCCAACATTTTGAGACGTTTTGGGACCAACTACCGTATTGTTCCACTGCATCAAAATGGGCAAAAAAAACAGGCCAGCCACTGTTCCCTTCAGTCAAGTCTATCCTTTAGTGTGGTTACTCCAGGTTCCAATCATTTCCAATCCATCCAGACGTTCTTTTCTTTGGATACGTCAGCACAGGGATACAGATTGCAGTTCCACCACGTTAAAAACATCACTCGTGGCAGGTGTCTTTTGGGTGACGGCGGCCTTCTCCATCTTTGCTTATCTTTGGCTGGTGCTGATTGTACAGGTGGGAGATGGTCTGGTAGAGATTAGCCCGCCTGTGGATAGATACCTATAGCGGCACAATGAAGTTACAATGAAGTGTTTTAGACACTTCATTACACTCGCTGTTGGCTGTGCAGACCTGAATGGTTGTGGCCTTTCTAGTTGTCCTCACTGAATGGTGTTGAATGTTACCCTCTGGTAAATTAACATAACTATTGAAAATCACCATTTTCAGTGGGTAAATCCACTTCTTTGTTTTCAATAGCAAACTGTTAGGAGGGGAATCATCCGCATGTAGTACTGCTTCCGCTGTTTCCCAACTGGAACACCAGACGTAAGCCAAAAAATACCGGTGGATTATCCAAGAATCCAAGCAAGCAGAGCACCTTGGACTCAGCTGGTATTTATCAGGTCGATGTACCCCATACCTTCCTGATAGTTTATGATATACATATATATATATGTCCAATTATGTCCATATATATATATATATACACATACATACATACTTTCCCGTGTTATTTTGCACTTTGGACCTCATGATTTGTTGATGGACACGAGTCTTTCAATGCACCATGGTTGGATGTTGCAGGCACTGTAGGTCAGGAATCTATATACCAGGCTATTCGACATGTTTGGTCACATTGGTCACTCAATGCTTAAAAAATTGGCCGGTATGATTTTCCTCAGGAATGGTATAGCATGATAGTATGATTATATATATATATATTATGGTATATATGTATATATATATATTAATATAGTATGATAATATATTATGATATAGTCATTATTGGTAAGGTTTTCATGGACTCAACCTCTGCAGGTAATCTCTCCGAACGTTATTGAAGTTTGGGAGGAGCGGGGATGGCGATGGCTTTGGAAGGTGATGGGAACACCATGTTTGGAAAAGCCTATTGGATTCCATTGGAAAGTTCCAGGAAAATGATTATCCAATATTGAACAACCATATTGAACAACCACATTGACAAAAATCACATTGAATGATCTGAAGTAGAAAACCATATATTTTTGTTTACTTTGGGATTCCAGTTCATGTTCTGATGGAAATGTTGCACGTGAAAGTCACCAACTATGTGAACATGTGATAGCAAATCTGGGGTGTGAACTTTATAAGTTTCAGCTATGGCTGCGTTTCAAGCTAACCAGTGGACAATTCCGCAAGAATAGGTGTTCAGAGATGTTGCCAGGCTGAAGGGTTTCATCACTGTCATGTGCACCATTTGGAATGGAATATATATATATATATATATGTATGCTTATATATTATAAAGTGTATATATATATATACACATATTTAGTAGCTTTATTAGCATGGTAAATATCTATCAGTTCATTGATATTCAATTTAATCAAACATATATCCCCATCATATCTCCAGTTTAATCACAATTGCGTGGCCTAATTCCCAACACATGTCCTGGAATATCCTCAAGTAGATTACCATTAGATACCAGTGTAATCCATCCAGATTAAATATCCTAGTGTATCCCCAGATTATATATCCCAGTGGGTCCCCAGTGTGTCATCATATTATATACCTAAAATGTCTACATAATTAATAACATACACACATACAATCAATATACATACCCAACCAAATCCCATCCCATCCATCTCATTGCAGATGTTTCTCCACGTTTTTCTATATCCATGGAGGCTTTGGTGACCCTTGGGTGGCTGCCAGTGTTGATCTTGGCCCGGACCACAGCGTCGATGACGATGAGATCATGGGTGATTTACTGGGGGAACCCTGGGGATGTAGTTGATATGGTGAGGTACAAGAATCCCTTCCGAAAAAAATATGTACGCACTCCTCACAAAGCATGGTTTGTTGCAGGGGATAAAAAGACACATGTTGGAACCCATGTAGGGTGTGTCAAATGGATTTTAAGGGGATAATAATAGACAGGTTAAGGTTTGGGCTAGCCCCAAAAAAAATGAGAAAAAATGGAACCACGACCACTTCTGTTTGATGTTTGATTTTAGTAGCAGGTGGACGAGGCAGCAACAGGTTCATGTTTGTGCTTGTAAAGACCATCATGCCTGCAGCTAAAACCAAGTTGTAAACGTGATATCTCCACTTTCGGGATGTAGTATGACCAGTGTGAGTGACCTGTTTCATGGGTAAAGACACAGATAAAGCAATATATATATATATATGTATATGTATATATATATATATCACCATACATACATAACTTTACATAACAATCTTATGTTCATGAAGTACTATGATAGCAGATACTATTAAGCAACAACAACACCACCAAAACTCATTTGAGTATAGTAATGGTGAATATCATCATGGTACAACCCATAGGATCCATATATGGTATATATGGTAACATTTACCATCAATATACCCCATTTTTTGTTAGCATATATACCAGCACCATGGATCCTCTGGGTCAAAGTGGTAACTTATGCCTCGGTCATCTTCTTGTGCCGCAAACTGTGTGCCGTTGGGAAGTCCATGATATACATGTCATTCTTGCTGGATGAATCAATTGCTTGTGGCATTTATTTTTCTAACACTTTGCAGGGGCACACATGTTTCTGAGACATATTCGTTTTGAGATAGAAATTCATGGGGATGGCTTTTCAATAGCTGGACCCACACAGAAGAGAGAACAGTAGAAGAGAAGAGTAGAGTAGAAGAGACTATATACAGAAGAGTAGAGAAGAGAATCGAATTGAAGAGTAGAAGTGATTAGAGAGGCGTAGAGCAGAGAATGGAAGAGTAGAAAAGATCCCTGCTGCCTTGCCTTGCAAAATCTCGATCTCGTAAAGATCTCGTAAGGATCTCGTAAAAATTACGCTGTCAAGCGGTACCTTGAATATTTCGGTGCCGTTGTGCTGTTTTGTTCAGTGCTGGAATGTTCCTGGTGTGCCACTGGGAAAAGCGTTTTGTGGGTATATTTTTCCCAGGGTGGGAATGAGAGTCCGTCAATGAGAATGACATGTAGAACTCCTGGTCTTCTAGAGGTCAAGTTGATGGTGTGCCATGCGGTTTACAACGCTTTGTGTCAGGTTTAAGACAGATAAAAAACGGTACAAAGCGTTGCAGTCCGCATAGGAACTTCATGAAAATAATGTGCACATACATGGATAGGTGTCGGTGTGCCGTGGTGATTTGGCTATGGCACAAGTTCTCCAGGTTGTGGGGTAAGCTGTGTGCCATGCGGTGGGGTAAGATTATAGGTTGTGGCGTAAGTTACCACTCGTACTCGTAAAAAACAACAACCACCGACTAGCTGAATCCAGGTGTCCTACCTCACCGACATTGGGTGGTTTTCCGGTGTCAGGCCCGGGCGATTTTTGGTGATGTTTGATGGGGATGGAATAATAGTGCGGGAAAGCCAATAATAAACATACCATCTGGTTATGACTAACAGTTCGCCATGGAAAGATCCACCATGTTTAAGGTCGGTAAACCATCTATTTCTATGGGCCATCTATACCAATGTTAGTCATAACCAGAGGGTACCATTTATAGCACCCGTTTACGTCGTGGTTTTCCTCTCGGGACGAGTGGTTTTCTCATTGTCGAGTCGTCAGTTGGGGGGAATGGGAGTATAACCCTCTGGTAAACAAACAAAAAGCTATTGAAAATGGCCATTTATAGTTGATTTACCCATCAAAAATGCAGATTTTCTATAGTTATGTTAGTTTACCAGATGGTAACCCTACTATACATATCTGGAGCAGATTGGTCAAGATGATTGACCACCAAGCACACAAAACACGAATAGCTTCATACTAAAGAACTTGCAAAATCGGTCATTCATACCTCAGCGACTTTACACCATACTAAGAACTCATTTTGGTTTGTCTGACAATAGGATACCCAACAAATCCAGTGGTTTATCATTATGTTCCATTGTATAAAGAGCTATTGAAGCAGCGTTTGAAACGGGATCATGTTCAGCGACTTGGCGCAAGGGCCAGGATTCAGGGAGTTTCCATAAATGGGGGGACCCCAAAATTCTGGATGGTTTTTCTCGTGGGAAATCCTAGCTATAAATGGATGATTTGGGGGTACCCTTATTTTAGGAAACCCCCAAATAAAGTTAACGTACTGTTTGGTAGTCTACTTTGTTTTTTTGTTCCATCTCTTCTTGGCAACATCATCGGTGCCATGGACTCGCATTGCTGGCATACCTATACTATACATCTCCAAGGAGTAAAGCTTTGGCTAGACCCGGGCGAGCTAGCTTTAGCCAGATGAAGCCAGTAGGAAAACCCTTACATACCCCGCACGACATATATGTTTTAGCCCAGAATTGCCTGTTTGCTTTGCACATCTTCACGCGGAGCTTGATATGGGGCAAGAAACAACTTCCCCACAGCCCGCTATTGAATGTCTATTTGAGGGAGATATCGTTAGCCACAACTGGGATTGCATCTTCACCGCAATTGGGATTGTACTAAACAATGAATATAGTTGAATGTGAACCCCCAATTTAGAAAAACTTTTAAAATTGTGGAAATCAATAGGCCGAATGACCAACAAAAAGGGTTCCTTCAAGGCTGGTACCCTGCTTGGTTGGATGAACCTCTTGTTGTTGAGTGGTTGGGAGGTAGACTGGCGGTTGAAGGGTTGAATGCGCAAGAACAACATGTTGTTGTTGTTGTTGTTGTTGTTGTTGTTGTTGTTGTTGTTGTTGTTGTTGTTGTTGTTGTTGTTGTTGTTGTTGTTAAGTGACCATTCCAAGGTGGAAGGTTGCTTAAACCACTCAAGGGTAACATGGTTAATTTAAATGGGATGGGTGGGCAATATCACTACTCTGATTCAACTCACTACTAAGGAGGGTACAGTTCCTCTTACAAGTGGATATGGTTTAATATAGTAAAACTTACAGGTGTTATCTCCCAACTTCTGTTGGTCATCACCATGGTTATACGCATAGAAACCCGTTTTTTTCCAACGATCTCCCAAGGAATCGCCTCGACTCGCACACCAGGAAGCAACCACTCGTTGAGAAGCCGGTGTCGCTGAGTTCGGATGGACAGGTGCGATCTGCTGGAGTTGTTGGATGGTAGTTCAATCCTGTTGTTTTTTAAATCATAGAATCATAACCAGCATTTTTTTGGTGGACTATCAAAGATTGATAATGCTATTCCCATACACACAAATACATATGATGATTTGCCATGGCAAGGTCTGTTTTCTGGAGCCATGACAATGTTTTCTGTTGAAATCACCAGTTCTTGTTGCTGAGTTCTTGTTGCTGAGTTCATGTTTTTCCTGAAATGGTAAAACTCAATTTTTTGTTTGGTTGAACCCTGTACTTGATTATGGAATCCTGAATTATTAGATGATAAACCCGTCGATTCGCAGTTAGTGCTGTTCTTTCTTCTTGATGGTTGAATCGGCCTCTTTTTGTTGGTTCCCTCTCCCATATTTGATGGTCACATTCCCATATTTGATGGTCACGTCCCTAGAAGGGATGACTTCTTTTAATAGCCAAACTTCCCTGTTTAGCAATTCTGTGGGTCTGCCCCAAAATGATCTCTGCAAAATTGCAACCCTGCATTTTTCAACTTAGTGTATTTTGGGGTAGAGTATCCATTTCTTGGACAACGTCGACCGGCTGAACCTTCACAATTTGGAATGAATAAAGCAGGCCCGAAACGAAGTGCATCCAGACAGCGACCAAGGAAACGAACATGAAACCTTCAAAAATGGCGTTGCAATACGCATCACCTGGAAATGGCCTTTCAATATCTGTTCATTAGTTGAATTTCAGTGTTGTGCTCGTT